CACAGTGTCACCACAAGAGAGTATGTGCTCCACATGTGTGCATCTTAAAAACGTTTTAAAATATTTTCATTGCTTGTTATTTGGAAGATTTACTTCAAAATCTGCAACAATAAATCTGTCATCTTCTCCCTCAAGGAGAGAGAAGGAGATGGAGAAGGACATGAATTCCATGCCTAGCTCTTTTCTAGTGCCCAACAAGTGAATTACTCGAATAGCTAAGTGCTAATGCAGCTTAAAAAAATAAACCTTCTCCAACGTTTCACAAAGATATGAGAGCATCGATGATGGCATCACATTTAGAATTAAAATGCAACAGTCCAGTTGTGTCGCATCTGTGGTCATCCTTTTCGAAGCACTCTTCGTTACCTGAGCTGACTTTGAACCATATTCTCCAGCGACTACTTCCTCCTCAGCATCCAGGTCAGTTGCTTGCAGGACTTTCTGGAGAAGCTGCTGCTGTTCTTCTTTGGTTGAAAACGAAAGTTCTTCTTCTTCCATCCCTGCAAGCTTTGTTATTACCTGAGAAACAGAGCACAGTACAAGGTGAGGGCTCTTCCTCCTCAGTGTTAACTATTCAAAACCAAGACAAGGATTTTGGATTCCATATCCTGTTGGAACTGACTTCAACTTTTAGTAATGCTCCAAACAGCCTAATGCTACGGGTAGCACAGATACATACAGAATCTTGCTAAGTGGTGTACATATATATACACAACCACACATTCCTCGTTACAATCTACTTGGAAATGCAAAATAAAACCTTTGGGGAAAAAAAAGAAAAGGAAAGAGGAAAGAGAAGAGAAAAGAAGAGAGGAGAGAGGAGAGAGGAGAGAAGAGAGAAGAGAGAAGAGAGAAGGGAAAAGGAAAAGGAAAAGGAAAAGGAAAAAAGCTCTGGACAGAAGATGTCAGCCAAACGTTCTCCATACCTGCTTGACCAAGAACCTGATGAAAGCAGCTCAGAGGCATATTCAACTTACTGCAAGGTTAGCTTTATGATGCGGGCTCCAGATTTCTGTACTTTAAGAACTAGTCCTTTATATTTAATAAAAATAATCCACTAGTTTTCCAGACATTGAGAATTTTGGCAATGAATGTTGAGGAATATGGAGGAAAAAAACCAATCCCTAACAAATTGAGATGTATAATCAGTTGTTGAGAGACAGTGCAGCAACCTGCAACAAAGCAGCAGCAGCAGAGCAAAAGGACACTTCCAGCGTTTGGGTGCTCAGACACGAGGTAATTTTGCTGCTGTTCTCTCTGAAATTCTTTGTAACTCCTTCGATAACCACGGACGCAGGTCACATGCCACCTGCTGGCAATGTAGCACCATACACTGCATCAGCTGAAAAACCTCTTCTGAAGAACTGAAAAGCTCTCAAGTTTCCATTATAAAGCATTACAATAGGCAGCTTGCTTTCTTAATTAGAAGTATTTTGAAAATTTCACAAGAAATATTCCTGCAGTTAAGCATATTCTGGTAAATACATGTTTACACACAAGAATCTCAGTTTTTCCCCACTATGTTTCCAACTTGGAAGAGATTTTGAGAAACACCTTCTAATTCAGCCTTTTCCCTTGATTATGTAGTGTTTCCCCTCCCCATTTTCCTTTTTCAGCTTCTCTCTTGAGTCAATGCAACCAGAAACTAATTACTTCAGTAATCTGGGCTGGATCTGATCACAAAGACTGATAAAAACCAGAAATACAGCTTAAGGTAAACCAAATCCACATTAGACACAAAGTACTGTTTTTGAAAAACATTAGAACGAACAATCCATGTTGTGGGCTGTTGGCAATGGCAATTTCCAATTTGAAAATGGATGTTTTTCTAAGAAATGTCCTTGTTTTAAGAATCCATTCAGAGAAGCAACCTGTCCTACTATAAGGCTATAGAACACTATGGTCCCCCTTACTTCTTTAGAAGGGCGAGCGCTTTGATCTTCTCAAAATCAAAAAAAAAAGAAGTCATGAAAAGCAGTTTTAAATTGCTTCTTTAGAAGGGCAAGTGCTTTGATCTTCTCAAAATCAAAGAAAAAGAAGTCATGAAAAGCAGTTTTAAATTGCATTAGCCTGTTTCCAGTTGTGGTTGCAAAACAGTGCTAACATGATTCATAGAAAGGAAAGAATTCCCACTGCATCATCTTTTTTTTAAGCTGTTCAACAGATGCCAAGTTTGAAGTTATCCCCAATTCTTTGACTTAGTGGTTTAAAATGTAATATATCCTACATTCAGCCTCTAAATAAAAACACAATACAGTAAATAACTAAACTATGGTTAGCTAACACAAAAAACCCGCTAGCAGTAAACTCCAAGCAGTAAATTGTGATGACAAGGCTCTTATTTAAGAAGCAAAGACAAAATACGTGAATTAGTCTAAAAATATTATTCCAGTTCTCTTTTTGATGAAAGGCAGAGAATGTAGCTATTGAGAGATTGTGAGAAGAAAGTAAGTCCTAGGAAAAAAGTGAAAACTGTTACCCTTTTAATGAAGTAATGAATTTTTAATAATTTCGGAACAAAAAATTCTGAAGGAGAGGACATCAGCACTGAAATAAATTACCTAAAGATGAGGTAGAGTCTCCATATTTGGAAGAGTAAGAAAGACATCTGCTGGGGATGACACAGACATAGTTGATCCTGGCTTGGAATGAAGAAACACAATAGATGGTTTCTTGGAAGTTTCTTCCAGCCCTATTATTCTTTGATGCCAGCTATGACTAAGCCTTAAAGTTTGGCAAACAGAAGAAAATAGATACTCTAACATTTTGTTCCTAAACTGCAAATAAAGAACATTCCAGTACTGGTGAGCTCCAGATACTCAGCTGCCACTTGCACTGCTTTTTTTTTCCATATTACACCAAAGCTCCCAGGACTAGGTCTTCCTTGCAAAATAAAATCCCTCTATTTTAACCTCTTTCTTAGTTCTAAAATCCAAGGCATTCAACACACAAGTAAAGGGATTTTTTTAATCTTTTTGGCTATAGCCACATAGATGCATTTGCTGTAATTAGTTGCAGCTTAGTACTGAGCTACAATTCTGTCAAAATACATTCACTACAAAGCAAAATGTAGTTTTTACCTATAAACTGTGACACGTCTGCTTCTGTGTAAGGACCCCCTTAAAGTTCTCTTTAATGGGCCACCGATGACAGCGCAGCAATTTACTTGAGCATCGCTGCAGTTTGGAGAGGTTTCACCCCAGGGATGTCCTGCACAGCACGTCTGCCTCAGGAGGAAAAGCTCTCCAGTAACGAGGCCCAAGTGCAATCCAGGAGAGGCTGCTGGCCCTTGCACCTCCCACAACCCCTGCGGGATTCTGTCAATGCCACAAGCCTCAGCTTGTTCCCTACGGGGAGATACAAGAGCCTTATCTTTTATTCTTCTTCTCCTCAGCAATGTCTCTTATTGGGAAGGCTTCTAATGAGCAATAAAACCCAGTTTTGTAAAGGAATAATCTTCCTAAAGCAAGAGCTATCATGAGACTGTTGCCTCCAACAATCCAATCGCTGGGGCAGCCCATGGACTAAAAGAAAAATAAATTACATACACTGTGCAATCTATAAAATACAGGAGCTTTGGTGGAATGAGATTTTGTATTTGGAAGATGACAACATAAAGAGATGCATAGGAAACTGAAGTACAAGGGGTAATCAATTTTCAAGTATGTCTGGAGAAATGAGGCAGCACTCAGCCCTTTACAAAAGGGACTTTAGGGGAAACTTCTGATTTTCAAGTCATGGCTCTGTCAACACTGAAAATGTTCTCTATCTTGAGGGAGTATGTTTTAGTTGTAGGTAGGAAGATTTATACTCTGCAGTAACAGTCTTTTCCTGTAGTAAATTCTGCCATTTCTCGATCAATTAATATTCAATCCAGTGAGTTTGGTGATTTACTTCATTCCGAAAATTCATTCAGAAAATTACAAGAGGAAGGTCAAACTGTTGGTGGAATCTAAATAAGCACGGCGTGAAGACCTCCACTGGCCAGAACAGCTTCTGCTATCACAGAGCCACTGCACCAACATGTCTGCATCCCCACTGGTTTTCTGTACCACTGCAGGCTTTGGACAGCACGGTGGAAATGGTGCACAAGATTATTGTGTGGACAAAGATCCTGGAAAGGTATTTGTTTTGGATTGGGTTGCTTGACAATTCAGACACCTAACTATGATTCTCAGAGTCTGTATGAAGGTAGGATGGATGAATCCTGCCCATTTTAGTCGTTAGCCACAAGGAAAAAGATGTCCTCCCCATAGTGAAATACTGGCCTGAGACAGCAGAAAGGTATTTGTTTTGGATTGAATTGCTTGATACTTCAGACACCTAACTCTATGATTCTCAGAGTCTGTATGAATGTGGGATGAATCCTGCCCATTTTATGTTTTTGTTAGCCACAAGGAAAAAGATGTCTCCCCATAGTGAAATACTGGCCTGAGACAGGAGTTCTCTGGAAATTATTTGTGACTTGAGATGTTCTGGAAGTTTTCACTGCTGGCCACTATGACACGAACACCTACCAACAAGGCTTTGTGCACAACCAGTATGATAACGTATAGCAGGATGGACAATTGAAGAGCATGAACATAAACCAACCATGCAAGTCATGTTCTGCTTCACTCCCCGGGAGGTGCTTGCTTTGAAGTTAGAATACTTACCTTCCTAGAAGCTGTACTGAGCTACTTCTATCTACCCTCACAGCAATACAGATGACAAAACAACACTGGAACAGTTCTTGCTTGTGAGGAAAACCTTCATTAATACATTCCACAACTGGAATTTTCAAGTATTTGACCTAATACTAACATGAAAGGATATGAAAGTTATATTCTTAGGCCGCAAGTATAATAGAAGGGACAAGTTACCTTGAAGCTATAACCTTGATCTACAAGAAACCGTTGTCGTTTCGTTGAATATGCCATTTCCTGAGTGTCTTGGGATACAAGAGAATAAAAAAAGGCATTGTATTCCTCTGCCACCATGCCTAGGAGACAAACACACCGAGTGATTAGTTCCATCTGGAACAATGCAAACCAAGAACAAAAGAGGACTGGATACTGAAAACTGGTGTTTAAATCAGTTGTCTCTCCACAAAAACAATCTGCAAAGTTTAGCTCCACCCAGACCTGACATTGACTGATTGACAAAGTACACAGCATGGAAACTCCCATTCTTGTTCTTAATAAATTAAGAACGGGTAAAAAGGAAAAAAAACGAAAAAGGAAATGCAGACTAACACAACTACACTAGTGCAGTTCTATGATGTGATGATCGAGGCCCAGAGCCCAACCACCACCTCATTTACCTTTCTTGGCTCTCAGCACTCGTCCCAGTCTTTGAGCCTCCTGTCTTCGAGACCCACCATGGGACGATATCTGAATCAGAACATTGGCTTCCGGCAGATCGAAGGACGTGTCACCTACCTGGAAGAGAGAAGCAGCCTCTGAGCAGCCTCTTATTTCCATATATGCTACACAAAGACTTCATACAATGTGCACCTCTGTCAGCTGCGACACGAAGATGTCAAACGCACAACACGCGCGTACAACTCACTCTGAAACAGACTGCATTCTGGAGATGGGTACAATGACACACTGAATGTCCTCACTTACCTTGGAAATGAAAATAGTGTTGATTTTTGGGTTGTGCTTGAAGTTTTGTAGAATTTGCATTCTTTCTCCTTGTGCAGTAGGACCATATATATAGGGTCTGAAAAGAACAGAATACGTGCAAATTAAATCAATTCAAGATTTCTCCATCATTTCTTCTGAGGTGCTAAGGCATCTCCCCTACCACGGCAGGGAGCGTGGTACACATTTGAATTGATAAAAACAAACCAGACTTTGGTACAGCTTACAGTTTACTTCTAGCTTGTTTGGCTCTTTCTGGCAGCCACCCAGTTGTTTGTGGAACCCCCTGCAGCAACCCAGTCTGCCAGAAATAGATTCTGACAGTAAGAAATGTTTTGCAATTACGTGCTCCAATGAAGCTGTAGATCAACAGACTGAATCCATTTGCTAAGCCTACATGAAAGACTGAAGGCAGCTGTTAAAATAAGAGATTTTTTCCCTCTAATCTATTGAGTTAGCACATCTATCTTGAGGGAGTATGTTTTAGTTGTAGGTAGGAAGATTTATACTCTGCAGTAACAGTCTTTTCCTGTAGTAAATTCTGTCATTTCTCGATCAATTAATATTCAATCCAGTGAGTTTGGTGATTTACTTCATTCCGAAAATTCATTCAGAAAATTACAAGAGGAAGGTCAAACTGTTGGTGGAATCTAAATAAGCACGGCGTGAAGATCTCCACTGGCCAGAACAGCTTCTGCTATCACAGAGCCACTGCACCAACATGCCTGCATCCCCACTGGTTTTCTGTACCACTGCAGGCTTTGGACAGCACGGTGGAAATGGTGCACAAGATTATTGTGTGGACAAAGATCCTGGAAAGGTATTTGTTTTGGATTGGGTTGCTTGACAATTCAGACACCTAACTATGATTCTCAGAGTCTGTATGAAGGTAGGATGGATGAATCCTGCCCATTTTAGTCGTTAGCCACAAGGAAAAAGATGTCCTCCCCATAGTGAAATACTGGCCTGAGACAGGAGCTCTCTGGAAATTAGTTGTGACTTGAGATGTTCTGGAAGTTTTCTGAATCACTGCTGGCCACTACAACAGGAACACCTACCAACAAGGCTTTGTGCACAACCAGTATGATAACGTATAGCAGGATGGACAATTGAAGAGCATGAACATAAACCAACCATGCAAGTTATGTTCTGCTTCACTCCCCGGGAGGTGCTTGCTTTGAAGTTAGAATACTTACCTTCCTAGAAGCTGTACTGAGCTACTTCTGTCTACCCTCACAGCAATACAGATGACAAAACAACACTGGAACAGTTCTTGCTTGTGAGGAAAACCTTCATTAATACATTCCACAACTGGAATTTTCAAGTATTTGACCTAATACTAACATGAAAGGATATGAAAGTTATATTCTTAGGCCGCAAGTATAATAGAAGGGACAAGTTACCTTGAAGCTATAACCTTGATCTACAAGAAACCGTTGTCGTTTCGTTGAATATGCCATTTCCTGAGTGTCTTGGGATACAAGAGAATAAAAAAAGGCATTGTATTCCTCTGCCACCATGCCTAGGAGACAAACACACCGAGTGATTAGCTCCATCTGGAACAATGCAAACCAAGAACAAAAAAGGACTGGATACTGAAAACTGGTGTTTAAATCAGTTGTCTCTCCACAAAAACAATCTGCAAAGTTTAGCTCCACCCAGACCTGACATTAACTGATTGACAAAGCACACAGCATGGAAACTCCCATTCTTGTTCTTAATAAATTAAGAACGGGTAAAAAGGAAAAAAAACGAAAAAGGAAATGCAGACTAACACAACTACACTAGTGCAGTTCTATGATGTGATGATCGAGGCCCAGAGCCCAACCACCACCTCATTTACCTTTCTTGGCTCTCAGCACTCGTCCCAGTCTTTGAGCCTCCTGTCTTCGAGACCCACCATGGGACGATATCTGAATCAGAACATTGGCTTCCGGCAGATCGAAGGACGTGTCACCTACCTGGAAGAGAGAAGCAGCCTCTGAGCAGCATCTTATTTCCATATAAGCTACACAAAGACTTCATACAAAGTACACCTCTGGCTGCTGCGATACGAAGATGTCAAACGCACAACACGCGCGTACAGCTCACTCTGAAACAGACCTCATTCTGGAGATGGGTACAATGACACCCTGAATATCCTCACTTACCTTGGAAATGAAAATAGTGTTGATTTTTGGGTTGTGCTTGAAGTTTTGTAGAATTTGCATTCTTTCTCCTTGTGCGGTAGGACCATATATATAGGGTCTGAAAAGAACAGAATACGTGCAAATTAAATCAATTCAAGATTTCTCCATCATTTCTTCTGAGGTGCTAATATACCACGGCAGGGAGCGTGGTACACATTTGAGGCATCTCCCCTACCACGGCAGGGAGCGTGGTACACATTTGAATTGATAAAAACAAACCAGACTTTGGTACAGCTTACAGTTTACTTCTAGCTTGTTTGGCTCTTTCTGGCAGCCACCCAGTTGTTTGTGGAACCCCCTGCAGCAACCCAGTCTGCCAGAAATAGATTCTGACAGTAAGAAATGTTTTGCAATTACGTGCTCCAATGAAGCTGTAGATCAACAGACTGAATCCATTTGCTAAGCCTACATGAAAGACTGAAGGCAGCTGTTAAAATAAGAGATTTTTTCCCTCTAATCTATTGAGTTAGCACATAGACAGCTGCAGCCTTTGCTTCCTTGAAAATCCAGGCTTCTCTATCCATGACATGCTGAGTGTCACACGTTGGCTGTTGTTCTGGGAATTCTTTTTTGCCTTTGAAGCTAACCTCTCGCCCCTCCTAATACCTTCTGGACCTACTGAAATGAGAACAAGGTCCAAAAGGTTTCATGGCCACGAGCAGCTCAGTGGCATTTCACCTAAGGTTTATAACGTTTGATGATGAATCACTTGGACCATTCAAGATCTCAATGCAGAAGGCTCACACAAACTCTTGGTCACCCACAGACCTCAGGAGTAACTTGGGCTACTATGAATTTTCCAAGATTCTCTCTAGAGCCTGGCTGTTTTCTTCCTGCCTAAACAGAGTTTAAAAAACCCAACTAGAAATGGCAAAGCCCACATAAAAAACAAGAGGCCTGCAGGAGTGCATGGCCACTGCTTTTTCATCTGTTGCACTACTTTTCCAAATGCTCATTAACAACCATCTCCAAATAACAGGAATCATCGACAAACCCTTCATGGCCATGAGCAGGTCAGTGGCATTTCACCTAAGGTTTATAACGTTTGATGATGAATCACTTGGACCATTCAAGATCTCAATGCAGAAGGCTCACACAAACTCTTGGTCACCCGCAGACCTCAGGAGTAACTTGGGCTACTATGAATTTTCCAAGATTCTCTCTAGAGCCTGGCTGTTTTCTTCCTGCCTAAACAGAGTTTAAAAAACCCAACTAGAAATGGCAAAGCCCACATAAAAAACAAGAGGCCTGCAGGAGTGCATGGCCACTGCTTTTTCATCTGTTGCACTACTTTTCCAAATGCTCATTAACAACCATCTCCAAATAACAGGAATCATCGAGTTCTACAATTTCTATTTTGTTCACACTTCCATTCGTTATTTCTAACAGGAGGAACCAACCTCAAATGTTTCATTTAACTTTTAATATTGCACATTGTTGGTTCGTAGCTGAACATAAACGCGCCGTGCATAGTACTAAGTTTTTCTTTTCTTATCAACTAATTTGTGTGCATCGGCTCCTTTTGCTTTCTTTACTACAATCTATTCTAGTTTTTCTTTTACCAAACAGCCCTAGTCACCTGTAATCTAATTCTTCTGTTTAGTGTATTTAACCAGATTTTTAGAAAAACGCAACTGAAAAATGGAAGTGGTAAATGAGTCAACTCTGAAACAATAGTTTTATTATTTAATTAGTAGCATTCAGTAATATTTTTAAACCTTAGTTGAAATTTCATTTAATATTTAAATTTTGACAATTTTAACCCCCAACAAAACTTAAATGGAAAATTTAAACTAAAACTGAAGCATTCATGAACCTTCTGTTTCTTAAACACACCAAGAAGGGGTTGAAACACATTTTTTAATTAAGGACAGAATAACCTAGAACTCCTGGCTATCAATCCTGCATTTCAATCCCCCCTTACCCCCCAGATGCTATTTGCAGTGGTTCATTAGCACATCCTGAGTACCCTCCTGAACCTATAACACCTAGACTGGTTTGATTTTTTTTCCTAGAATGACCACCTTTCCTGGCTGCAAAAAGACATTTGAGGAATTTACAAAGATCGATCCCTCTCCCATTAATGGACATAAGGGGGGTAAGGGAGGAGCCAGCAGAGACAGCCAGGCGAGGGCCATCCCTCCCTCCATGCAGGACCCCAACCACCCCACGTGCCTGAACCAGGTCACGAGCAGTGTGGTGGGGTCTGGCTTGCCCAGGGGCAGGCAGCCCTGGCCACAGCCCTGTACTCGTTGGGCTGCTCTCTCCTCCATACACATATTAATTCCTGCTCCACCCAAACCAACAGCTTCCCTTGTTTCAGCACGCTCATAGCAGACCATGACAGAAAATTCTCTGGTTAAAACAAAGACTCCCTCACCTTTATCCAGCACTGCAAGCCTCCTTCTTTCTAACACTGACAGCTGCATAACCTGGAACTCCACACGTGACATGAGGAACAGAGAATTCACTCAAGAACATGAAAAGCAAGCACCTAATATTTCTTCAACTGGTTTTGCTGCCCCAGTTCTGCAGCATCTACCCCACTTAACTACTGCTGTGCTACTCAGCAAGCACCCCCTCCCAGCATCGCCTTTGCTAAAGGCTTTTTCTGTGGTGCAGGGAGCACTGCTAGAGACATTCCAGAGGCATCATTACAGCTAATCTCTGTCCAGACAGATTAAAAAAACATGATGAAAGAGACCACGGGTGTTGGAAGTCAGCCAGCACCGTTAGCTCTGCTTACTACTGGATGTCAGAGCCAGCCTGCACAACATGGCTGTTACACTGCAGTCAAAACCATCCACAGATTTTGGAAAGTGGTTTTGCTAAGAAGTACTGCTGAAATTCCTAGACATGATATCATACGCAGCCAAAATGCTCCACAGCTTCCAGCAAGCAAGGCATTATGCGGGCTATGATGTTGTTATGTGGGATGAGGCCAGCTTCTCTGCTTATTTTCCCCAATAATTGCTCTATGCCTCATCCTGGCAAACACTCTCCCTGATCGTCCCTCCCCAGACCCTACAAACACACTGATGCTAACCCCAGATTAAACTCCATTTGCGCAACCTTCAGTAATTGCACTCACTTAAGAGTCATTTAAGGTAGCTGAGGAGCTCATGGGAGTAACATCCTTTCGTTTATTAAGCTGTTCCAGTAGTTGTAGGCAATGCACTGGTACAGCACAGATCCCCAAAAAGTTTTTCTTAAGTTTTTTAGACAAGGTTAAGACCTTTTGAGAACCTGAGGAGGAACACTAGTCCCAAAAGATCTTCAAAGATGCAGAGAGTATATATTTGAAAACTTGTGTCTCAGGAAGATAGGGGAAGCTACCACCTGTTAAAGAAATAGTTCTAGTGATATTTTTAAAAGCCCCTCATTTTTCCACTGGCTTTCAAGAATAATAAAATGGATGGAGAAATACTGACACTCTTTCACAGAAATCTTGGATGAAAACTCCTCTGAGGTAAAAGCTGAACAGATTCTTTTCAAACAGTTCTACACTGAAATAATGTTGCGGTGCCAATAAAATCCACCCAAGAAAATACCCTCCTCCATAGGAGGATTGGAGTTAAATCAAAGTATTACATGAAATATCTAAAGACTACTGAAAGCTGCAGGATTACGAGGCAATTTTCCAGGAAGGAGGAAAAGAGCAGTGCCACTGCTGGTTGTGAACACTTACTTCCCGAGCCTGACGGCGTACTCCTTCAGTGCAAACACATTGTCAGCAAATACGATGATTTTATCATTCCGTCGCTCATGAAACTTAATCAGGAACTGGCAGGCTCTGAATTTATTTGGGTTCATGGTGTACAGCAGTATCCGCTTCTTTGTTTTGATGGCGACGTATTCTCTGTAAAATTCAGGTGACATTGGGCACCAAACCTGCAATCAGAAAACACAGACACACAGAGTAACCCCCCGTTATTTATTTGTTGTATTCCAGTAGGAATTGAGAAGGTACTGGGGGGATGATAATGCGTTATGACTTTCTGTATAGCGCAGATTTTAACACAGTAATTTCTGTACCAAAATGAAAGCTACTGGTTGGTGTAGTCTCCAGTACTGCCAAACTCTGTTTAACTTCATCAATATGCATTGACAGTGGGTTTGGAACAAGATTGGAAGATATTTCCTTTATGTTTCATATTTAATAATTTTACTGAATGCTACTACGTTTTACAGAACAATAATTAACAGTATGAACTATCTCTGCAATCTCCCTGTCACGGCAGTCAAAGCTTTTTCCATAAAAATTAATATTCACCTGAAAGCTACGAGACACATTTAGTCTTCATTACAGAACAAATTTACCAACTTTTTTTTCATACACCCAAAAGAGAGTGACCTTTCTGGAGCCCTCAGCACAGGAAAGACGTGGACCTGTTGGACTGGGTCCAGAGGAGGGCCAGAAAAAATGATCAGGGGGCTAGAGCACCTCTCCTGTGAAGACAGGCTGAGAGAGCTGGGGTTGTTCAGCCTGGAGAAGAGAAGGCTCCAGGGAGACCTCATAGCTCCTTCCACTACTTAAAGGACAGATGGGGAAGGACTCTTTATCAGGGAGTGTAGAGATAGGTCAAGGGGTAATGTCTTAAACTAAAAGAAGGAAGATTTAGACTAGATATAACAAAGAAAATTTTTAGAATGAGGGTGGTGAAACTTGCCCAGGTTACCCAGATCGGTGGTAGATGCCCCATCCCTGGAAATGCTCTAGGTCAGGTTGGACGGGGCCCTGAGCAACCTGCTGTAGTTGAAGACATTCCTGCTCATTGCAGGGGGTTTGGACTAGATGACCTTTAAGGGTCCTTTCCAACCCAAACTATTCTGATTCTTTATTTGAAACAGCTATTGAGTCTACAACTTTCAAAACACTAGGGCTGATGAGAAGTTTTCAATACACTTCCCTAAGCAACTATTTTATTATGTAAATACATATCATAATCTAGGCTTACTGAGATGTTTTCTCAACTATAGCATGAAAATAGAAGAAATTATGAAGTTTAAAAGTTTATGCCAGTGCAATGACACTAACTATAGTGCATATCATTTATAAGACATTAATTCTGCTGTACATTGGTTATTGTCCCATATCCATTGCACTGTACAAATTAACAGAATACTGCAAAGTCCCTTGACTACATTAACAATAAATTTATGCATTGAATAGGCTCCACTGTTATTGTATACCGTCTATAGAAAATATTTAATATTCTTAAATCAGAGGACAATATTTCAAGGTCAGAATGAGATATGAACACTGAACATCTGACTGTAGTAAAATAATTTATCTACTGCTCAATGCTTCTGACTACATAGCAAACTGAATATATTCTGATTTGTATTTGCACTCTCTTCTGGATTTGGAAATGAATAAGATCTACCTCTCACCCCAATGATCTTTTTATTTTTACATTTTGCAAGACACACACTCCAAGCCAAAAACTTAGTGTGGCAGCTGGGAAAGGGATTATTTTTGAATTACAAAACTCTAAAATTATAATCAAAGAACAGGCTTGTTCCTTTTTTAAAATTTCTTTTCACTTTCTTATCTGTGCTGCTTGTTCTCTTTTAGAGCAGTGAAAGAGCAGTACCTGCAATGAGCATGACCTGCCTTATCAGACTGCCCTCTCTTGCCACCTGGCAAGAACAGCACTTGAAGAGCAAACCAGCCATCTTTCTTGCTGTGGGGAATAAGCCAAGTTGATCACAGATGCTACTTCTCAACAACACGTCAAGAAAATCCACACAAATATGCAATGCAGTTGTGCACGTATTAGACTTGTCATTTATCAGCCATCAACATGGCTTTTTTTTTTTTGATTCTTTGCTTGTGGTAGTCCTATCCAATGTTATTTCAAAACGTTGGCTTAAAGAATATAAACTTGCAGAGTTTTCACACCATTCAGATCAAAGGTTGCCTGTGCCTCACTTTTCAATGTCTAAAGGGCAGTTCAGGGACTGAGATGAAATATGCTCCCAAGGCAGAATTAACCAAAGTCCCCAAACAGTCAAATTTCAATTTGCAGAATGGTTACTCTCCCTTCAACCTAATTATTTGCTAGCTGCTCTTCACTTCTGCTCTACTACTTAAAAATAATTGTAGGGTTTTTTCCTTCTACAGCCTCCAGTTTGCACAAAGTTCAGCAGGAGAACAGCTGACCTGTACCTGCATCTTTTATTCCAGCACCAGAGCTAGGAAGAATTGCATGAAACTAGCAAGACAGGTTTAAAAAAAACACCCAAACATCCAACAAGAAAAAAACAAAGACCACCAAAAAACAAACCCACAAACAATGAAAAAATAAACAAAGAAGAAAGAAAAAAAACAAACAAACCCTGGAAAATCCCAAGAGAAACTCCACCATAGCAAGTTGTAGCTGCTAAAACTTCATTTCCATTCAACTGGAGTCTGAACAAATTCATGAAAAAGCAGCCCACTGATGGCTACAGAGAAACCAGGTGTAGCTCAAAAATGACTGAGGGCTTGGAAAAGTATTAGGAGAAGTGACAGATATGTTTGCCCTGTTTTCATATTCTTCTCTAACTATCTTTCTTGACAATTCTATGTTTTAAATTTCCACCCTCATGCATTCAGGTTTGAAATAAGCAGGTATTTTCTTATGTTCTTCTTAATGCTTTCTACTATCCTTCTTTTGTTTTAAGAGAAGAATTTTCCTCAAACTACAGCTTCTCTACCAGTTGAAGTCTCCAAAAAGAAACTTCTGTTGTACCACCTGATGTAATGCTCATCATAACACAATGTTGTGCTACCACAGAGAAACGACCTTCAAGTACAAAGTCATGTCAGACGACACAAATGTCAACTGCATCCAACCAGGTCCTCACTACTGCAACCACTGTGCACTTCTCCAAATGCTGACTTGGGGACAGCTGATCAAGCACCACAATCCCCGCCAAGAGAGTGCTGAAGTCACTCTGAAGAATCACAGAATCATAGAATGGTTAGAAGGCACCTTAAAGATCATCCAGTTCCAACCCCCCTGCCATGGGCAGGGACACCTCCCATTAGACCAGGTTGCTCATGAACATGTGGCTGAAAAATATGTGGCTACTGCATTTGATGCACGTTCATATTGACCAGTGGCAGTCATGCCTAAGCTACAAAGTAAATGAAAAATTGTAATGGCATTTGTTTCTCCCAGCTAAATACTTGCAATTTTATACATCTTTCTTAAAAAAAAACAAACAACAAAACAAATAAGCATAACTAAGCACACTAAATAAACACTATACCAAATATACCAATATACCAAAAAAGCAGAGCATCACCTCAGCACACTGGACTTTAGCAATGTAGCCACTGTTCTGCAGCTCCATCCAGTTGGCTTCATAGAGCTTTGGTCCGATCAGGAAGTTCAGGTCAACAATTTTATCATCTTCTCTGACCAGGGTAGCAGTCAGCCCCAGCTTACAGTGAGCTTGTACAATAGTGAGCACACGTCTGAACATTTTCGCTAAGAAATGCAAGACAAATTTTCCGTTTACTTTCCTGAATGGATTTAGAAGACAAATACTGCAACTTAAAAAACCACTTTCATCAACTCCTGAACACAAAGCAAGCAAAGCATTGGGAAATTTTACCCTATTTCACATGCGTTTCTAACAAATGTGTGTTACAGCAAAACTTCACACTGATTGCAGCTACAGTTTACATCTTCAGTGTAGTCTGAAAATCCCAGTAAACCGTCTGGTGTCTGCATTATTTTCCATTTCCCGAGAGAAAATTAATATACTCACAGGTTACATGGCTTGGTTTAGGTCATACACTATTTCATAAAAAGAACTATAACACCAAGACTCTTGGCTGACTCGGCCACATTCAGGACTTCTAGTATATGGCAGAATTACTCATCTTTAGTATTGCTAGAGATCCTGTAATTGCAGGATCTGAAGACAGAGAGGAGATTCTATACATTACTTCTTATGAAACCAAGAAAGAACAAAAGTGAAAGAGCGGTGCCAGCAATATGCTGCTTTGATAACATGGCAGCTGATCATCATGGTCTACTGCTGAAATCCATCATTTCTGTAGACAGCAAATTATATTCAAATGAAATCATGGGAAGCAGGTAGAGCAGCTAACAGAACCCCGGGTGGTATTTTTAGCCAGGATTATTCCAGACACTTTAATATTATATTATTGCTTTCCAAAAGTACAGATCTCAATTACACAGTAATTTGAAATACAACAGCTATTTCTGGACAGCCATCACTATGGTTACTCATATTTTATTGAGTAGAAATAGATGTTGAAAGGTACCCTACAGTGCCGCTATATCTCAAAAGACAGCAGATGAATTCCTCCCCTGTTCAAAAGTATATAAATGTAATTCAGTGCTTAAGAGCACTTTATCAACCCACACAGGAGGAGAAGGCACTTGTATTTTACACTGCCATTACAGAAAACACTGTGTCTAATTTGAAGGGTTTCAGAAAACTGGTCAGCTAAACTCTGTAGTATTAGGGGGAAAAAAAAAAAGAAAGAAAAAAAAAAGAAAGTAGAACAAGGCAGTTTACTTGTCTCAAAGCCTTAAGCCATGGGTTTGTTCATTATATTAATCATGAGAAAGACAGCAAAAAAACCACCACTTCTAAAAGAGCAGAGTAACATTAACAGTGCATGTAACATGAGAGGTTTGCACACCGTTTCCTTACCAGGGATGGTATGTACTTCATCAAGTATCATAAGGCCCCACTCTTGACTTTTAAGCCACTCCATTACTCTCTCCGCTTCCCAGGATCTTTTCGTGGTGTGTCCCAACATGGAGTAGGTGCTGATGGCAATGGAACAGCCAATGGGCTTGTCTTTGGCGTCGGAAGTGAAGCGACATATCTGACTGTCGTCGATGGTGGACCACATCTTGAACTGGGCTTTCCACTGCTCCACCGACACCGCCGAGTTGCCAAGGACCAGACAGCGCTTGCGGACGGTGCAGGCGGCTGTCACACCAACCAGAGACTTGCCAGCACCTGCAGGGGAGGAACGGTGGTACCCATTAGTCACCTCTCCCAGATCACTGAGTAGGAGGAGGAAAAAAACATCAAGAGCAAAGGAAAACAGGAAAAGTGTGAGAGGAGATGAAATCACGTAAGAGCAAATTCTTCATTGTATAACATTGTTACAATAGCCTTAAATGAATGGAGTATTCACTTCTAAACAACCAGCTGGATTGTCTGCTTGAAACATAACTGTATTTTCTCAAGAAAATCATTGTAAACAATGGCTTTGCCAATTAGAAGCAATCATTTTAACAACTTCTTAACTTCGAAAGCATGTTAAATTCCAGGTGGCTACAGAAAGTTTCCCCTAGAGGTGATCTATCCCACTGCCCCTCTCAGCTATGCTCATTCCCACATGCAGCAAGTCCTTGAATCTTTCCATTCCTCCTTCACACTTCCTCCAGCCATCCCTGACACACTCTCTCAGGCCCTCACTGTATCTCCCCTGTGCCCCCACCACCCTGATCCCAAGGGCACTGCCATACAGTCTCCTCTCCCTTTTCCATTGCTTCCCATAGGTTGTCCCACTCTCCACATTCCTCACTTCTTTCTCAAGCTCCCCTGCCCACCACTCGTGCATGCAAGCATAAGCAGGAATCTGAAGCTACCACAACCACAGATCAGCTCTTCAGTCACTCCAGGGACAGCTCTGTTAAGCAGATGCTCAACAGCTCTATCAACCATGCTCTCCCTCACCACAGCCTCACCAAAAAACAACTCACTAAAACCCAAAAGGACTCTGCACACCGATACCCAGAACCTTACCACACGGCAAGACAATAACGCCAGATCTGGCTCGCCCATTTCCAAACATCTTCCGTAGGCTTTTCTCTTGATAGGGCCTGAGGACAGCTGTAGGCTTCAGATCTATGTTAATATCAGGATTCACAGAATCATTTCTGAAATCATACTCTGCCAGCAAGGGGTACTCCAAATGGATACAGCGCTTCTGAAGTTCTTCAATCATCTCCTGAAGAGGAAACAAAACTACGATGGTAAGTTCTCCACATCTGAATAAATTCTTCCTTTTTTTACCAAACAACCAGATTATATAGTACCATGTGAAGTTACATTTATCTTTTATGCTCATAAAGTCTGTAAGAGTTAAGAGTTTATTCCAAAAACTTTATTCATGACCACATCCCCCTCCATTTTAAATAACAGTTGATATTAGAGAGGTTTATTTAGACAGATGGAAGAACATGACGCACTAATCTCAGATGTGCTTTCTATCCAGTGGTGACTAAACTACACCCCGAAGTCCTGCAACAAAGAGCTCAATAACAGACACAAAAGGTTCTGTGTGTTACACAGAAGGACCCACCCAAGTTTCACATCTGTTATCTGGAAATTCTTTGTACCCTGGTAATGCAGTTATTCCACCACAATCACAGGCTGAATCCATCACCAAGAGGCTGTTGGTTTGTTTTGTTTGTTTTTTAAATAAACAAAATAGCTACTGAGTTATCTTTTTAAAAAAATATATCTCTTTTCCCCAGTAAGACACTGTTAGAATCACTGAGTCCAGAAAGAAATGGAGAAATTTTGCAAAAGCTCTCTGAAGGTCAAGCCATGACTGCTCTCCAACCTCCAGCTCCCCTTCTCAAGCTACGAAATCAGAACCACCAAGTGTTCCTCCTGCAAACATGAATCACAAAACAAAAACAGACCCCCCCCACACACATACTAAAAAGTAAAAAAAACCAACTCTGAACCCAACAGCAGATTTGCTCTCCACTGAAATCTCACTTGTTTTGCCCAAAGCAACTCTAAGCTGCACAGGACAGGAACCTCCCTTAGTCTCTGGAGCCTTTCTCTGGCCTGTGGGCAAGGATGGAACAATATCTAGTCTGCTGCCCTCTGTACTGGAGAGGAAGATTTTGGAGGGCAAGAGGAAAGAAATGTTAATGACTTCCAGCAATATCCCTACCAAACAAAGAGCCACAGTACTTTCAGTTCTCGTGCATATTTGCCAGTCCTGGGCAGATTCCCCAAAGCTACAACTGCAGAGACTGCAATACTTGTACCTGCTTGACTTCAAAAGACACTGTCTGCGTTTCCTCCTCCTCCTCCTCATCTTTGTCCATCTGTTCATAGAACTCATACAAGTCAGCTGGGACATCCGGCTTATTCTGAGCCTCTGCTGCCTGTGACGTTGATGGACCAAAGGCACCTTCACTGGATTTGGAAATCTGAAATAGACGGACAGTAATTTTCACCAAGGGTTTCATTAGAGACACAGTCCACTCCCCTCCCCACCCCAGTTTGGGCTCATTAAGGAGGCACAGTTCACTGCTGACAGAACTGAAAGCAACTGTTGACAAACAACAACCACCCCAACCTACGGCAATTTTAAGAGGTGCTCAAACATACCACATACAACAGACAAACAACAACCACCCCAACCTACTGCAATTTTAAGAGGTGCTCAAACATACCACAGATTTACTTGTGAATGTCTCCGTAATGAGCTCTGTTTCTTCACCCTCAGCGTTTCGCAGGCGACACTCTTTGATTACATGGTCTTGCAGAAGCTGCTGAATGACATCAGGGTGGGTACTTTCCACAAAATACCTAAAATTAAAGAACAAAGAAAAACTGGATTAGAAGTCAGAATACAGGAGACTGTAGAAAAGCTTGTGTCACCAGCCTCATGTCAATTAGAAAGAAATGAATGAAACAACTATCCGAAAACTTCAAGACAATGTTGCAACGTGAACCACCAGTAGCTCAGGGCAGCCCCCCTGAATTCACTGACCAATGTATTAAATGCTTTGAACAACTAAAAAACTGATATTGTATTGAGAGACGCTACACTCAGCTGGGAGCTGGAAGACCCAACAGCTACTGAGACCACACGATTATGCAGAGTTGAGCACACAGAGGACTTCCTCTGCCAGGATAGTTAAGGAAGAAGCCACTTACCTGTTATGTTTCAGTACCAGCTTCACCTTCCCATAGCTGACCGTACACAGCTGCAAAGGAACAACAGCAGTCATTAGGAAAACACAAAAGACTGATTCCTAGACAGGCTGGAAGGCTGGAGAGTAGGGCAGAGAGGAACCCGATACAATTCTAAAAAGGTAAGCATAGGGTGCTGCACCTGGGGAGGAATAACCCCATGTACCAGTACAGGTTGGGGGCTGACCTGCTGGAGAGCAGCTCTGAGGAAAAAGACCTGGGAGTCCTGGTGGCCAACAGGGTGCCCATGAGCCAGCAATGTGCCTCTGTGGCCAAGAAGGCCAATGGCACCCTGGGGTGCATCGGGAAGAGCGTGACCAGCAGGTGGAGGGAGGTCATCCTGCCCCTCTGCTCTGCCCTGATGAGGCAGTACTGGAGTGCTGTGTCCAGTTCTGGGCTCCCCAGTTCAAAAAGGACAGGGAACTGCTGGAGAGGGTGCAGCAAAGGGCTACAAAGATGATTAGGAGCCTAGAACATCTCTCTTATGAGGAAAGGCTGAGGGACTTGGGTCTTTTTAGTCTGGAGAAGAGAAGACTGAGGGGGGATCTGATCAATGCCTATAATACTTAAAGGGTGGGTGTCAAGAGGATGGGGACAGTCTTTTTTCAGTGGTGCCCAGTGACAGGACAAGAGGAAACAGGCACAAACTTGAACATAAGTTCTATCTAAACATGAGAAGGAACTTCTTTACGTTGAGGGTGGCAGAGCCCTGGAACAGGCTGCCCAGGGAGGTGGTGGAGTCTCCGTCACTGGAGACATTCAAAACCTGCCTGGACATGTTCCTGTGCAACCTGCTCTGGGTGGACCTGCTTTGACAGGGGGCGTTGGACTAGATGATCTCCAGAGGTCTCTTGCAACCCTGTATCATTCTGTGATTCTGCGTTTGGGACCAAATGCTACAATGCAGTGTAGGTCTTTGTAGGGAGGCACAGTCCCGTAGCATTCTGTGATTCTGTGTTTGGGACCAAATGCTGCCATGCAGTGTAGGTCTTTGTAGGGAGGCACAGCACCATAAAACACTTACTCGCAATGTTGCTATGGTTATGGGACACACCTGAAAAGGTATTTTCAAAAGATGCACACATCATCTCCCACAGGAGACCAGTCACAGACACTCAAGTTTTTATACCCAATTCCCATCTGCTTCCAAGACTGCAAGAACATACTTGCAGGACACGTTTGAGAGTGCCCAGCTATTCGAGCTGGCTTCCCACATCCACAGTCCTCTTCCAGAGCAAATCTGAGGAAACTTTCCCCACATATAATTTCTGCCGCCTCAAAGTGTGCACACAGATGCCTGGGCATACATTTTTTTTAAAAAAAGGTATAAACTCCACACAGGATGTACTGTGAAAATACCACGTGTGCAGCAATATAATATAGAAAAAGACAAAAAAAAAATAAGATAAAGCCTCTGTTCTCTTGAAACAGTGATAGAATATGATGGTAAAATCAATGAATGATTAAAAATAAATCAATGAAGGAGAGGCAGCAGGAAGATACTTCACCAGTAGCAGCAGTCCTATTTCCAATGCCAACAGAATAGTCTTACCTTGATAAACTGAATTATTCCATCTGGGACACCGGTCTTGCTCAGTTTTTGTAAATACTCTGTGATGTCACTCGTTTGCAAGCCGACGCTGACGGCAGCGTAGAGGGAGTAAGCTGTCAGCTTGTACTCGTGAATGTGGGTCGGTCTGCACACGGGCTCAGCAATGGCAACCAAAAAATCCTGGGCGTATTTGTAAACTGGAGAAAAGGCTTCCAGAAAAATATGGCCATCGGGAGCCTACAGAAATAAAAAGAAATGCTGAAGGCACAGTGGCGTTAGTTGAACAGAACTGGGAATTTCCTACAAAGCAGCCATTATGACATAGCAATAGTCTACTTTTTAGGTAGTAACACATCGCAGGGTTTCAAAAAACAGTCCTTTAACAACAAAGGCACAAGAAAAAGAATAAGCAGACACAGGCACGTACAAATTTTGTCTGGGCTGCAGACATTGATTTGTCTGCGTCCCTTCTGTAGCACTAAGAATAGCCACACCCAGACTAATTAAGCTTTTCCAGACTGACATGTTGGGGTATTTTTTTTCTCTTTTAACGCTAAGCAAAGTGCTTGAGCAGAGGGAACCTTCCAGCCCTGCTCCCCTCAACAAAATGAAATCCCTCACTCATTTTACAGTGAAGAGAAAGAAAAGATGGCACCTGTGCGTCACGGCATTCAGTACGACGCCCTGCAGACGCCGGCTGGGCAACCCCTCTCCTCTGTATGCCCGTACCACCAGCCGTGCCTTGGAGAAGTTTACTGAGGTCCCTTTCAGGGCAGATATGGCACCAGTTACAGAAGACGAGGAGTCCTAAAGCTGTTCCACCCCAACAGGCAAACCCCGTTGCTGTGTCACTGCCAGACAGATCCCACTTGTGCCAACGCAGTCACAGCCAACAAACTGTTTTACCTTCTCCCAGAAACATCTGGCTTAAGCTGCTCCGCTGCCTGGTTGAGTCACTGGCGCACCAAGGGAGGGAGCCAAGAGGCTGCAAGGAACCCATAGATGCGTCCCCCTCCAGCTTCCCTTGCAAACCCCACTCCTGAGGGACCCCCTCACAGCCGCCAGCTCGCCCACCCGGGCCCGCAGCGCCTGATCCTCCACGCCCCCCCCGGCCGCGGGGAGCCGCCGGCCCCACGGGCAGCGTGTGGCCCCTACCCCACGTACCACCCAGAGAGGCCGCGAGGGGTGGTCGGCCTTCAGGGGCATCTGCTGCCGGTAGTCCTTGGCCCCGTACTCGTCCAGTTTGGTGCCGCTGTCCTCCACCTGCTTCCCCGCCGCCGAGGGCACGGCCTCCTGCGACTCCCTGCCGGGCCCTTCATCTTCATCCTCCTCGTCCTCATCGTGATGGCGCTTCTTGGACTTCTTCTTCTCTGGGAGCAAAGCCGCAGCCGTGAGGAGGGGAGGCGGCGGCGGCCCCGCGGCACCCCGGAGGGGACCCTCCCTCCCTCCTTCCCTTCCCTTCCCCGGCTCTTCCCCAGGCCCCGCTCCCCGCCGCCGGGCTCCCCCCGCCAGCCCCGGGCCGCCGCCGCCGCAGCTCACCCCGCTCCTTCCTGCCCATGGCCGCCGCCACCGACGGAAGCCGGCGCCCGCGCGGCGCGTCACTTCCGGCGCGCGGCTGAGGGGGAGGCGGGAAGCGGGAGAAGGTGTCGATGTTTTGTTCCCGGGGCCTCGGTTACAGCGGGGAAAGGGAGGGGGGAACGGCAGAGAAATGAAATAAATAAATAAATAAATAAAATAAACATAGAGGCTTCCGCCAAGCGCATTTTAAGTAATAAAAAGAGCCCATTGGGAAGGGGGGCGCGGAAGGGGCTGAAGGGCGACGCTCTGAACAGAGAAAGGAGACCGGTGTCCCTACAGAGTGTTTTAATATATTTCTAAGTACAATTCGTGTCTGATTTTTGGAAATACAAATACATTTCGAATGGTTAAAAACAAAAAATTAAAAAAATATTTTGAACATCAGCCAGCTGAAAATATATTCATCTAGTAAATCATCTCTCAAAGCTTTTATATATTTAATTATTCTAACTAAACATAGTACCCTTAAAAAACAAGTTCATAAAAATGTAGAAATGAAATTGTGGAATAAGATTACTGGGAGATAAGAGATATATCTATATACACACACACATTCGATGCATACACAGAATTACAAGGGGGGGGGGAGTTGGTTGGTTTAGAAGTTTGGGAGGTTGTTGGAGGGAGGGAAGGGGTTAAGCCGGGCTCGGCGCCCCAGTTCCTCCACCAAGATAACCCAAGGCCAATTTTTTTAATCTTTTTTTTTGTTTTTATACAGAAGATAAAGCAGCAACAGCAGTGCAGTTACTGGTAGCTACGTCTCCAAAAGGAATAAAACCCTTCCCCCCCCCCTACATCCAGACAGTAGTACATTGCACACGCACGTGATTCTCACACACCCATCGACAATTGGTCAGAGTAGTAAATCAGTGTACAAATTAAATAGTTCCAAAAAATGTGCAAAAAAGTCAACGTTGATAGAAAAAAACACCTTTGTGTACATACATTACAAACTGTGCCCAGCATTCAACTGAGAGTAAAAACATTTACAGTGAGAAACTGATAGATTAAATAGAGAATTTAATGGCTACGTAAAAATGTACATTAGATCAAGAGGAAATTTACAAATTCTTATTCATAGCTTCATGAAAACTAAAAGCCTACGTTCCCATTCATCTAAGTCTCCTCCACGTATTTACAGTGATACTCCATGGTACGACTCCTGCCAGGTCTGAGATGACAGACACGATGCTCTCGTGAACAGCTCCCATTTTGGGGTGACACCACCTTTTTTTTTTTTTTTTTTTTTACTGCTACTAACGAGAAACAAACAGTAGGGAGCCCGCTGTCTAACGCCTGATCGGAAAAGAAAATGCAATCCTTGGGTTTAAATCCACATTGTACAACCGCTGGGGAAAAGGATCGTCTGGTTTGGGGGCAAAAGACATGAAAACCCTCTGAAATATTTCCCATGAATATCCACTGCGGAGGGCACGTGTCCTTCTCCTTCTCTCTGGACGGAAGCCCCTGACCCCCAAGCCCCACCGGGGGACTCCACGTAAGGGCTGAATCATGAGATACAGTTTTTCCGTGTGTTTTAATCCAGTTCCTCTCCCTTTTTAAAGTTAAGTCTATGAAAACTAAGCCTGAGCCACAGCATCGGTGGCTTCGAAACGTGAGAAACTTCATTCCCCCCATCCCACCTGCCCCTCAAACAGGTCCCTGTGTGGCATTGCCAGGGAGAGCCCAGGCCAGTGGGGAGCTGCACTGCCCCGGGTTCAACCAATGGGGGCCCCTGTATAAAGCTGTACGTGAACCCCCTACCTTATGCGGGAGCTATGGGTGGCCACCACCAACAGTATTTAACAGTATTTTAGGTTATGCCCACTGGAAAGAACAAAAATAAACCGTGCAGGCCAAGTGGGGGAAGTGAAAAGAGAAAGGGGCTGCTCCTTCGTTTCTGATCAAGGGTTTCGATTCAGAAGCCACGGGTGGGTAGCAACTCTGCCTGGCCCCTTTGGTGTGCTGCCTTTGTGGCTCCTCGACACCCCTGTCACTGCGGGTGACATTCGGCTGTCACATCACTGATGCCCAGCAGCTCTGAAATGCTCCTACTGTGGCGCACAGAGCAGATCTAGTCACAAATCTACTTGTCCTCAGTGGCGCTCCTTGCCTGTCCCAAAGCTCAAACCCGGCTGTGAAAGTCACCAGGTTCAGTCACCAAGCTCATGCATTGATTTTACAATGGCAACAGTAAGATTAAGTTAAAAAGAGTTTTAAAAAGCAAACTCTTCGTTTTAATGCTGGCATGAATTTTGCACACCAAAACAGCAACTATTAACACCCAAATCTCTTAACTATGGGCAGTTCCTATCATTTTTTACTAGTACCTGCTTTACTCGGTTAGCGATAGCTTACTGATGGGTATAGGTGCATCTAAAAGTAACAGCACTAATCCATGAAACGTCACTTTTGGCTATACGTATACGGGGATAAAAAAGCTTTGGTAATTGTATGTGATTTCACACTGCAGACTTGCCATTAACACCAGACAGCAAGTTACCAGGCAAGAAGAAAACGACACTGGGGGCAATACTTCTGCTTCTCCAGAAACACCGTAGGGACTCACATTCAAGCACACAGGTTACGCCTTTCTATAAGCGGGACGAAGACTTTCAAGATTGAAAAAAAAAATATAAAAAGAGTAAGAAATCGGTTACAAATAAGTGTAGGTCTGACCAATTTGCTCACGTCTCTGAAGCGGCAGCTCGACATTGCTCTGCGCTGGCAAAGGGAAGGGCTGCTGCACCGCGCGGGACCCACGGGGCTCTCAGTCAGGACAACGGCGGGGTTAGGATGGTCCAAAAGGCACAGGAAGGAACTGAAGGGGCACGATGCTTCACTGAGAAACCTCTGCCTTTGCTCAGACACATCATGCCTTCCTCTGTACTGGAAATAAACAGCTTTTCGTACCGTACCGTGTTTACAGACGGACCAGCTCTCACTGCAAGCGCGTTAGGAACGCTGCCGCGGTCCCCACGGTGAAGGCAGAGGCCAGGAGGCTGCAGCTCGACTCTTAACAGTCGATTTTATTTTCTGTGAGTGCAGAAAAGTCCTTTTTCTGGTACATACATCAGCGTGCAATCTCCAAACCACAAATACAACACCTGTATTAGCACAGGAAACCCTCAGGAAGTGCTCCAAAAATCACTCCTTGAAATTCTGAATTTAAACGCCTGCTGCAGGCTATAACTAAACGCAGCTGGGCGAATTCTGGTTTGGACACTGAAAAAAAAACAACCCCATACTCTACGACTGCTCAGGTGACATGGAATTGTATGACGTATTTCACCACGGTGTTCAGATCTGAATAAAATTAAGGCATACAGATAAAAAGGCACTAGCTAAAAAAATCCAACTTTTCATTTTGTTATACTGAAAGGACCGTTTCGCTACAAATCAAATTGCAAAGGAAGTTAACATTTTAAGACTATATTTAATCAGTCAAGAAAAACATCTATGTAGATTTTGATTTGCAATAATTAGATCCATAGTGTTTTAAGTCCTTGCGAGGGTATTTCTATCACCCAAATTAAAAACTTGCTCTAACACAACTGGAACTTTCAGTCGTGCTCCAATGGGACTCTTAGTTACACCAGCAAAACCATCTGACAGAAGTAGCTTAATTTTTGTTACTTAATATGTGCAACAAACGTTGCAAAGTAATGAAAATCATTAGTGGTAGGTCTTTTGAAAATACACATACTCACTGTGAACCTCCATCTTTATTTTTTGGGAGCAGAGCTTCATGGGGGCATTTACAGAAAACCAAAAGAACCCTGCAACAGTATTGTTTTCCTTGGCATTTTCTAGTAATTGCATTTAACAATTAAAACTAATTCATGATTCTGAAATGCTGGTATCTCTGATAGTAAGATAGGAGAAGCTGCCAGCAGGGATCTCGGCTCTGCAACCCTCTTCTGATGGAGTTTTAAACATGCAATTCCATGTGTCCTCTCAAGACCTGGGGTTGGTTTGTTATCCCTCCAGCTGTTGATGCCAGTGTTTTACAGATGTTGTATACAGGGCTCCTGCGCTATTTACTGCACTTTCTTCTCCCCCAGTAGGGGGTAAATATTAACTAACCTGTTGGTAAAAGCCTAATTTAGCGCCATAATTCTTTCTAGCTCAAAACATTTATGCTAATAAGCACCAAATTTACTTCTAAGCCAGTAGACAAATTCTCCATAGGGTGAAAAAAACCCAACCAACCAGCTCAAGCCTCATCTTGGTTAAATTAATAAAATTTTACTAGAATCACTTGAACTGGCAAACATTATCTTCATTTAAAAAGCACTGTCTTTACGTTGGCAGCTTTCTGATATATCCAAGAAATTAAGGAAAATGCATTCTGCAAATTCTCATCCTGGCTCCAAAATGCTTACCGTTGTCATGACTGAATGCCATTTTTTTTTTTAGAAAAGGCACAAAAGCAGCAAACTTGATTATTCAGTAATTAAAAATCACAATGAGGAAGTGCTATTGCAATATACATGAGCCAGCACTGTCTCCCAAAAAGGACACATTATAAGAAAACTAGATTCTGAAAATTTTCAAGCTTCAGAGAGTGCAGTTTCTTTTTAGAATACTATATTGAAGTATTAGGAATGCTACAGATAAACCTGGTTACGTTTTCCCTTTAATGTCCTTTTTGGTAATATAGAATTTCCTTACCTTTTCAGATATCACTGTCCACTACTGATTTTTATATACATTTTCACCTTGGTTCTAGTACCATCTTAATCTGTTTGAAACCAATCATTTCAATTACGTGATTTTTAAATTACTTAAGTAAACTATTAGGCTTTATATTAAACTCCCCACCTCTGCTGTCACTAAATTTTGCTTATAAAGCAAAGGTCCTTTATAGCAGAGTACGTACCAATTCTTAAAAGGCTGCTTTCATAGCTTTTTTCCAGTGACAAAGAACAAAAAAAAAAAGTCAGTAGAAGCTGACTTTCCTTTCAGCCTTCCAAACTTCCCTGGTCTGACTAGTTCTTCCCATGCTCAGAAAACCTTGCACAGTTGTGTACCCTGACTGAGCAAATTATAAACTGGGTAAAGCACTCACATAAAACCACTCTCAGTCCCAGGAGAGATGGCCTCAAAAAAAAAAAAATCATTCTTGCCCCACTACAGGTGAAGTGATTAGGATAGATCCATGCTCCTGCTTACGCTCTCGTACAAAATTTGGAAGTTAGCAGAATAAATGCAGACACCTCACGAGTGAATTGCCATGGGAAGGGGTACCCTTATTGTTCTATCTCCATGCACTTTGTAATTCTGATAGTCCTCTAAAGATGCAAAACAGCCTTGTCAGAGCGGACAAGGTTCTCAGTACCAGCCCGCTCTGCCTTTCCAGAACAACAAAAGCAAGCAATGAATCATCCAAACCAGCATATGTTATTTCAGTTCTGTAGTCCAATAGTTTATTTCCAAATGCCCTTTTAAATTATGTTGCGTTCTTCTACAAAAATACGAAAGTTTGACTTTTCTGTTGTGAAAAGTCAGTTATTCCCTACACCTGATCAGTACCTGGACTTCTCAACTGAGAAGCAGTATTGCAGAGTTTTCCTTTTGCTCTTTTATTACACTCTTGCAGAAATGGAAAAAGTGATTAACGTACGTTTTATGACAGCTGGAAATCTGACAAACACCAATCATCTGGATTATCAGGCTGGAGTAATCACGCTCATGTTATCTGATACCTGGCTGTCTTTGCGCTTTTGGCCTGTTCTATACAATCTTTTGTGCTGTGCCTCCTTGTTCACACAGATTCATCATCGCTACCTTATTAAAAATATAACTGGAGTCTTATCATTCCCAGTGACTTATTCCTGGTGTTAAAAGATGTTTATTTCAGGAATTTTCAACACATCCTGGATGACTGAACTGTGTTGGTAAAACAATTTTTTTTTTTGGGTGCATAATGAGAAGAATTTTGCATTATTCAGGCACTTGATGTTGACATACATTCCACCCTAGCGCCTCTCGACAGCTCTGAAAGCATTTCTTACAGCTCATTCTGAATCAAGTAACTCCTATACTGCACAGGAATTAGTCACTCCCCTTCCCCTCCAGCCATTCACGGGATCGTGGAGGAGAGCTGACTCTCAACATCATTTTTTTCTTATCTAAGATAACCGTCTTCCTCCAAGCTTGTGCAACAGAGGTTCTCTTTGGCAGATAGAGCAGGAGGCCTTCTCCTAACTATTTACATCCATCAGCTGACCCTTGTCTAGTATGGAAATTTTCCCCTTGCAGTATAGTAGTTCCTATGAGTCTGGGTCCATAATCTGTTTACCTGTAATTATTTTCCTATTAAGATAATACAACACCAAAACCTCTAACTAGTACATCAGTGTTGAGTTGTTTTGTTGGTTTTTTTTCCTTTTGGTCACCTAGAAGTACCGGTTAGATGCGCTGCTGTACAAAGAGTTCCAAGTTCTTCCAGCTTTACCATTAGCTCTCAGAACTGCGTGTTCCAGCTTAAACTGTAAAATCCAGAAACTGATTAAAACCCTAATATATAATAAGAACGTAGAACTCTCTGCTGCAAGTACCTACAATATAAAGAAGAATCACAAAGAAGTAACCTTCTTGTCCTTTAGCTGCATGTCTATTTTTCCCTGCACCCTGAGTCAGTCAGCGGTGTCAGAAAAAGTCACACAGTTCCTGACTGTCCAAGCATTTGTCTTTTTTTTTTTCCCCTTTAAATAAGGAACAAATATGTACTAAAGTGCTTTATCTACATGAACCACATCAGTACATTATAGAAACAAAAAGTTCTAGTCCTGGTGGGAGCGGGGGAGAGAAGATTCTCATTTTAGATACAAAATTTAGATTGTTTACAATCTAAGTGAAACAAATATTCAAGAGAATATTCTCTCTCTTGTCTTTTTTTCCTCCTTTTTTGTAAAAAATAAAAAATAAAAGTGCAGTCAAATAGAAAATAAACGCAGTAGACGCAAGCTGAGTCGAGGCAGGCTGTTAGTGATAGTGTGCAAACGTGTGTCTTAGCAGTTCATCTGCAAATGGTCGCAGCTTGGCCTCGATAAAAATCCGTTTCAAGAAATCCCGAGCATGGTCGGAGACATGAGGTGGCAGCTGGGGGTTGGTTGGCTGAGTGGCAATTTTAAAGATGGCAGCCATTGCTTCGAACTCTGCCCAGGGGGGCTTCTCAGTGAGCATTTCTACCACTGTACAACCTACGCTCCTGAAACAGAGGCAGAAGTGAAACAGCAGGTTACAACCCAGTCCGTGCCCTTCCAGGAAAACAAGACATAGCAGCGAGCGACCAAAATACCACAGATCAGTAGCGTCCGCTTCACTCCACGGAGAAACTTCAGCAGGAAACATGTGTAAAGAATTGCACGTACAGCTCCACACTTTAGCTCAGAGTTACACAAATCACTGCCTGCATCTTCATTACTTCGCTGAGCCAAGAGCTACGGCCTCAGTGAAGAGCTAATGAGGTATTTATCCAGGCAATTCCAACTGCTCCGTGGCCGTGCCACAATTCAGCGCTCGGGATCGACACCGACCCCTGAACCTCAGCTCTTCAGACCCCAGCAGGATGTGAAGGCCCTTGGAAGCTCTCTTGCTGGTTAAGGCCAAAAGGAAAGGCAAAGCACCAGGGATGCTCTGAGGGCGCCCAGTTATTGCCAGCTCATTAGAAATGCACAAGTTATCACTAATCAATAATGTGCAAACGGAGCATTGCAGCTGAAAAGCTTAAAGTCATATTTCAGTGGTGGCTTCCTCTTCTAGTTGAGGATACTAAAAATATACTTAGATTGCCAAACCAAATTTTAAGATACTAAACAATCTTTGTATATAAAGCTTATGTTTAAAGGATTTAAGAAGGCAGAAGGGCATACATATGGCCATAAAAACCTTGTTCTGTAAGTCTTGCAAGATCAGCCTCTTCCATTAACAAGCCTTCCAATAAAACGGACTAGAAAAATTTCCCAATTTTCAGGAAGTTTTATGGGTTTTCATAATGCTTGCAAGAAGTTTTATGGTTAGACAGAGGCACACTTCTTTACACAATAAAAATTTACTGACTCACGTAAGTCAAATTTCAGTACTTTTTTCTTAGTTTTAAACAAGATTTTCTCCATCAAAAAAACATGTATTAGCCTTGGAACAAACACGTCAAAGTTGAACAAGTCAACTGCCTGAAATCTATAAAGCTGTTCTATTATTCAAGTATAGCAGAGTAACTACCAAGTGATCTAAGTAACCTAAAACAATTTCCCCAATATCAGAAGCATTGCCACTGGTTGGGTGTAACATGGCTCCGTTTTAAATACAGGAATTGTTACTACTCCTGCATGTCTACTGTTGCCTACCCTATTATTCTGTGTGCTCACAGAGCACCTGCAGTGAAAGGAGTCTAGTCACTAAAATCATTTGTGCATTGGGCTGAAGCTATGTTAGACTGTCATATTGAACAATGTAACACAAACATTCATTTTTGAAATTTACCTTTCCCTCTTAATTCTTAAATATTTAATAACAACAAACCAAATTATTGTTTTATACCTCCCATTTAAATCTGGCTAATTCATTCTTATGTGCTCATCTTTTCTAGGACCAGCATTTAATTTTCTGCCTTATATCAAAGGCATTTCAGTGATAGATTTTCGTTACAGGACACTTCAAAGCTTTCCATGTTGCTTTCACCCAGCACCTCTCCAGGATTTACAGAGTCTGGTAATCCTAACTTCACATAAGGCCAGTTTCAAAGAATACTCTTATGATCCCTAAATCAATGGGCTGAAGAATTGTCAAATGAAAGATTCCCAAATTTCAGTGTTACGCTCTCCAAATACGACTGTCAGTGCTCACTCCTGCCACCTCCTTTGGCTTAAACACCAGAATTAATCTCTCCAACTTCAGACAACACCACACTCTGTTGAATAAGAGCCCATTCTGACATAACACCTTTCAGTAGAAAAGTTGGTGGTTTTTTTTAACGTACCAGATATCTGCTTTTCTGCCGTACCCTTCTCCACTAATAACTTCTGGACTCATCCAGTAAGGAGTTCCTGTGACAGATTTCATTCCTGTTCCAGAGAGACATATCGTCTGCAGTCGTTTGCTGGCACCAAAGTCACCGAGCTTCACGTTGCCTGCTGAGTCCCGCAGAATATTTGCTCCTGGAAGGAAGGGAACATAACCTTAAATTTATGAAAGGCCTCTTAACATTTTGGGATGGAAAATGGTAACAAAAGTTTGGATTCAGTGATACAATGCAAGATCAGTCTTGTATTTTAAGCCAAGGAACTTACTTTCTCTGCTCGTTCCTATACTTTATTCCAATGTTCAGAAAATAATGAATTGAACACACTGGTTTGCATCCTAAGCCTTTTCTGGGAAGTCCCAGACACTTTGTAAAACCTTCCTGAAAAAATAAAGAATGTGCCATACAAAGGAAATAAAAAGAAACGGGAAAGAAGCTTCTCCACAACTGGAAATGTCTTCATATTGTATTAAAGCAAAATCTGAATCTGTGTTAGATTTGTTCAAAACACTTATCTGCATAAGCACATACAAATTGACCATGATATCTCAATCTTTTTTTGAACAAAACACTATTGATACAAAGCAGCAGGAAAATTGTAAAAGTTTTAGGGAATCCAACAGCATTGTGTTCAACACACCTATTTTGCACATCACCATCTCCCTACATATTCGTAACTTGCTTATGCAGCATTTGCAAGTCACCTCTATCTATCTGCAAAAAGCATGTTCATTTCCTCAGGTTTCCTGACAGTAAAACAGAAGAATTCAGAGTCAATTGATCAGGCAAGTCACCTCTGCCAGTCATTTCTTGTACCAGTGAAATGCTGTAATTTTTCATGTAATTGATAGAAATAAAACTCCATAAAAATAAACTTTCGAGTCATGATGCTTTCCTCTGCACATCTATTTGTAATGACATCATCCGTTGATATAGTCAAAACTATTAATACTAAAACAAAATCAGAAAGAAATTTATCATGATTCTTTTGCAGACAGAGACTACAGAAACATTTTTGGAAGTGTGATGCTTATTTTTTCTCCCTCCAGTTACATCAGTGACAGAAATAAATGACAGAAAGCCAACTTAATTACATTTTACTGCTTCACACAAGACTAGGAAAGAATGTGTAGTAAAGAGCACTGAACCGTGCACAGAACTATCCTTACCTTTAATATCTCGATGGACAATCATGTTACTGTGCAAATAGTGAACTCCTTCCAAAATCTGCCGTGTGTATTTACGAGTCACGTTCTCTGTGAGTGCTCCGTATGATTTCAATTGGTCTTTGATGGAACCCTATTGCAAACAGAAAGTATAAACCACTGTAAGGTTTCTAGAATCACAAGTGGGTGAATAATACAACTGAACTTCAGTGAAATTTATGCCTGAAATGTAGACATTTAAAGTTGCAATACTTTTCTAGATTAACTTAAGAGCACAGATACAATTTTATCTCCAGTGAGGAAAAATACAAACTTTGACAAAAAAGAGAATGGCCAGAGAGGTCATATACTGACAAGTGAAGTGATTAACTTTAAAACAGCCAAGCAGCTGAATAGTTCCAGTGTGATGTCCAGAAAAAGAGAACAGTAGTATTTTCACTCAAACACCACTCTCCACTTTTTTGATGGTTAAATGGTGATGCTCAACTTGGACAAAACACACGCCTTTCACCCTGGTTAGTTTATACTCGGGGCAAAACAATAGGTTGCCAAAAAAACCCCACCAAATTCTGGAGGATAGTACTTTGCGTAAAAATTAAGGGGTAAACAAGTTAAGCAAGGCTTACAATGACATTAAATCAAAAATGCATGGTTTTGTAACCATTTCTGTGTGACCAGGCTTCGTCACACAGAATTACAAACTGCTAAGATTGCTTCTGTGACACTGTTCTCCAAATCTCCGAAAGATTCAACAAGCCCCCAAAAACAAAGCCAAGAACTCACATTAAAAAAAAAAAAATCCAAGCCAAACCCAAATGAAAAACCACAAACAAACAAAGCAAAAAGCCGCCACCACCAAAATGCCCCTCCCACCACTTTTCTTTGGAGTCTCACAGTAGAATACTGTAACTATTCAGAAATCCAGAGTCTGTGTTTTTATACAAGCACTTTTTATTTAGCTCTGCTGACCCCACTTGGTGAGAAAATGAAAATCTACAGTTTTCTGACCTTACAATATTTCCTAACAAAACAGCTGGAGCAGAAGAACAGTTCAGCGTGTACCGAAGCGCCACACCAAGCACCGAGACTATTTTCTCTATGCACTTACTCTCACAGCTATCTTAGCTATTTTCTGTTTTCCTAAAGTAATTGAGCAGTTGAGATGGTGACTACACAACAGCACAAGCTGAAGCACAGCAAAAAGAAACGTTAAAATTTGGAAAGATTCAAGAGTTTCCTAATGATAATACTGTCTTTTTCAAAGACATTGCCAGGCATTTCTTATGTCAAAACCAAATGCAAACAACTTTGGTACACACCACTGTAATTGTGAAAACCCAAACAAGCAACGGAGAAGACAGGCTCCTGTAAGCACTTGTCAGTAGCCATCTTTGGCTGCTGTTCTTAACTTGGACACGTCTTTAATATCTGTGCAAAATATCTTCTGCACAAACTATCTGCTTGGGTGCTTGTCACGTTCTAGAGAAACGATGGTTGAAGCGGACCAGCTCTCTCACTTACCCCAGGCATGTATTCCATGAATATAGAGAGTGTTCTTTCTGGAGGATCTCTCAAGAAGCCATAATACTGAACAATTCTTTCATGCAGCAGATTTTTCAGCAACTGAATCTCACACTCAAGTGCATTTACTTCCTAAAAGGAAAAAAACAGACACGATTTACCATGCTTAATGTAGTAATAATAATGTTTTGACTTTTTTTAAAGCAGGACAGTATGTACATACTGAAGGGTTGTGCAAACTAAGTAACACAACACTTTTGTAGCTTATGTAAAGTTGATGCTTTTTCATACAAGAAAATATCCCCATTAAATTGAGGGAAGTAAAATAAAACCATGGCTTTTCTATAAATTGACTTTGGGATGATTTTGCTGTTATTTCATTGTTTCTCTTATTTGAAGTTACATTTGTTTCGGAGAACTGCAGATATGACATAAGTGTATGAAGCCAGTGATTATGCAAAATGTCATAAGCCTCCAGTTGGGTTTAAAAAAAAAAAAAAAAAGGAAAATCTTTAAATCTTTGTAGTGGAACAATTATCACTAATTCTTAACTTTTCCAGGATGACAGACTATACTTTAAAAATGCCTTTAAGGACCACTTAATATTGTAATAATGAACTACAACAAAGAAAAACATGAAAACATATGGTGCTCTAGAGCGATCTGAAATACTAAAAATTTTGCAAACAGGAAGTCAGATATTTTGAAACGGACTGTACAGTAAGATGCGGGAAAAATACTAACACATGACTTCAGACTCCACTGGATTCCTAATTTCACCTTTCATCAGAACTTTTTATCCATTATAGACTATTACTGATACCCTCACACTCCTGAGTTTAGAAGGAAACCAGATTTTTTTGACACTTATTGGAACACGTTAGAAAATGCTATGGCAAGTGAGGTCACAGAACTGTTGCTACAGGCAAAACTGCAGTATTTTGTATTTAACATTTCCAACATCAGGTGTTCTGTTATGATTTAAAGTAGTAGCAACAGCCACTACACTAGAAATCTACAGCTTTTCTGGCTTTTTTCCTTGATCCTACATGACTAGTAGCAGCAGCAGCAACAGGTAGCCACTCAATTCTGCAATCATGCCAATACCCACTCTCTCCCCAGCCTTGCTCCCCACAGTGCACATCGCAGTCCTAATGCAGGAAAAGTAATAATTCTTCTTCCATCCTGTAAAAAGCAGCAAGTATGGTTTGGGAAAAAACAACTGGAAGATTGGTGCTGGTTTTAAACAGTTTATCTCCTCAAGTGTCCAGTATTTAAAGAAGGACAAGTTCAATTTTAGGGACAGAACAAACTGACAATTAACTTTTGCTCTTCAGAGAGAAATACAGTGAATAACAGTAGCTAGCTCTGATGCTTAAATTAAAAAAAAAAAAACCAAGCCAAAAGATAAATAAAGATAAGAATCTCAAACTGTCTTTTTAGACAAACAAAATAGCCTTGAGAATTTATTTTCAGGAACACTTAAATTAGTATAGAACTTTCTGTTTATAAATGGAACTTGTTCTAACTCCTGTAAGTACAAATAATTATCTATTTCAGAGCACACTTCATAATGGATTGTTTAATTTTAGAGGCTGAAACTGCACCAAAATAAGTTACGTATGTTAACTGCATAAGGGTATGTCTGAAAATTAAAAAATGGGATGTAGCATTAAAATCAGGTATCCAAGCTAATTCTGAAGTACTAACAAAACAGTATTCCTAACAAGGACATTAAACCACAACGTGTTTTAAAACATCATCCTTATCAAGTAAAGCAACATTAGTCTAGTCTAGAACACAGCACTTCAGCAGAAGCCCTTTATAAATTCTCTCTTTGGTACCACTTACCTTGCTGGTTTCTGGACTGTCGGGATCAAACTGAACTTGTTTAACAGCCAGTTCTCTTCCGGTATCAGCGTCGTAACACAGATATACTCTGCCAAATGCACCTTGACCCAGCAGTTTACCAAGCCTCCAGTTAGTTGGAGCTCGTGGTGCTGAAAATATAAGTATGTTTTGGTTTTCAAATGACCTTGTTATTCAGCTGATTGAGGAAAAACTGGAATACACAGAAAATAATTTTTTTAAAAGACTACATTTTTCAACATCAGAGATTGTGTGTCCTAAACCTCCCCATATAAGTTACAAAGACCAATGACACTTCCTGTAAAATGGAAAATGTGAACTACATAAATTTGTTCACAAAATAATTTGTGGTAGAGGTAGACATAATTAAAACAACTAGCAACAGCTAATCTGAAAAGCAGAAAAAGCATGTTAAACAAACTTTGTAACATTTTTTAAAAAATTGAGGCATAATTCAAATTGAAGCTACTGAAATCATCACAAAGTGTATTTGCTTCTGAAATGCCACCACACATATGAAACAGTACCGCTTGAGATCTACAATTTATCAGAAAACTTGACCAACATCTGCAAAAAAAAAATATTAAATACAACCTACATAACCCTACTCAGGTCCTTAAGAGTCTAACAAATCATCAAAAATATTTTTACAGTGTTTTGTAATCACAGATGCAAATTCCATGTGAAAATCTACATGAAGGTTGGCACGGTAAGCAATGAAAAAAGCGATGAGCATACAATCTGGACTTTTTCCTATTAGAGACACAAAAACCACATTATTCAATTACATGTATTTTCATGACACACCTAGTTTTGACATGATATACCAGAAAGGTAAGAGAGTTTTACAGCGGAGTTCACAAAATGCCTGAACTTACAGCGACTGGGTGGGCTGATGTCCATGACTGACAGGGTGGGATTGTCTATGTCACTTCCCCTCCTCCTCATCCGGTTGTCCTCATATTCTGGCGTAAAGACGCTGCTTCCGCTGCTGGTGCTGAGCGAGTGGTCGGTGGGACTGAAACTGACTGGGGATCGGAAGCTGTTCCCCTGAGTCCTCCTGGCTCTTGGAAAAGTTTTGCGACCTTCAACGATATACAAAGAACACCACGTTACACTACAAAAAATACTGCTATGCAATGTGTGCTATGCAAATACTTTATGAATTCCACATAATGTAGTTTAAATCTTCCCCAGTGTATGATACGATATAACAATCATGAAATTTACTGGTTTAATTTTCCACCTAGAAGAAAGCAAACATTCATCACAGATGTATGTAAGGATTAGACTGACATCTTCATCCTGCAAACTAATAAGACCTGAATGCAGAGAAAGATCTACACACGGAATCAACAGGAAGACCACAAAAAATAAATACATAAATGCATAATTCAGATGGCTACAGCCTTAGACTGAAAAAAAAAAAAAAAGGCACTGATCTTCAAAAAGTTTAATTACAAGCAGATGACTAACACATCATGTTAACATATTTAGATAACAGAACATTTTCATGTCAGCACAGCTTGATGAAGTTTCATCCTACAGAACTCATAGAAATAGCTGAAGGAGCCTCCAGTTCATTAGGTGTCACACTGGAGAAGGAGCTCCCAGGGGACTGAAGGAGATAAATAAAATATCTTGGAAAAAGTGGACTCAGATTTATATACTAGTCTGGCCAATTTAAATTCCAAGGAAGACATGCAAAGAAAATATTAAGCAATTTTAAAAACCATTGAGAAGATAAGGTGATAAACCAGCCATAACTGGTTTGCCACATGTAGCTAATTCAAATTCTCCATTTCATCAGGACGTTGCCATAAGGTAATTAGTGGAGCGTTGCATACATCAGCTTACTATGCAGAGTAAGCTCAAGACAGATTCAGAGTAGTTACCAGTGATTTCTCATCAAAAGGGAGGATAATTTAAGCAGACACCCACGGCAGTTCACCTTCAGTCCACTTCCATACAGTATTTTAACTGATGGAACATAATACACTGAAATATTGCAGATGACATCAAGTCAAGTGTGGCTGGAAGTCCATTTAAAGATTAAATTCAAAATTCACAATGATATTATTAAGTTGGAGATGATTCAGAAATCAAGACGAAATTCAGCAAGGAAGTACAACGTACATACTTAAAGGGAAATTCAAATGCAGAAACCACAAAGTGTAAAGCAACTGGTTGGCTAACAGTTGTGTAGAAAAGGATCTAGGAACTATAAGAGCCCACAGACTGAACAGCTGTCAGCACAGTGCCTATGGAAATAAGTGTCATTCTGGAATCTATTAACAAGATTGCTACATACTGAGCTGTGGTTGTATCCTATGTTATACATAAAGTGGCCATGGGAAAAGCCTTAGCTAGGGTACTCTACCAAATTTTGGCCACTATAAGAATGGAGAAGAGACCAGGAAAAAAAAAACACAAAAAACCCGAGACTTGCAAAAATATCTGAGGTAAGACTTAAGGCTTGAAAGAAAAAAATTAAAGAGATATAAAACCACATCAGGCGCAATCTGGTTTATGTGGACAGTGACCAATTTTTCACTGTGTTAAAATGGAGTAATTAGTTAATAGTTTCATTTGCAGGAAAAATGATTTAGAAGACAAAGAAAGCTACGTTGTAATACAAACTATTTTTGAAGTTAGTTACGTAAAGAAAAGGAGTATCTCTTAAAGTCAATTTAGAGTTTACTTAAAATTCCATGTGACAGATCTTTGCCTCTTTAATCTTGCCTTAAAGCAAGGAACTGAAGCTGCCTTGCAATCCTTCAATTTGGTACTTCTGTGATTTCTGTAACAGAATTCCATTTATTGCTGTGCTCATTCCATAATGCAAATGAAGCCATCTGGTCTTTGGAGAAGTTTCTTCCTAACACTTCTCAACCAGTGCTTGACACATCCTCAGGTCAGACAATTCTTCAAGCTGCTCCTCTTTCCTTCTTTTGGAAATTTAACGTGTTTCATTTACATCAATGTTATTACTGTGCAAATCTGTTTTGTGGCCACATCAGCAGGTGCTGTCTTGCATTCCAAGAATTGACTTGACCAGCTAATTGTTAATTCTCAGTTTAAATCACTGCTCTTCAATTTTACTCACTCTCTTAATCTGAGAAACTGTTCTTAGGAACTCCACTGTATTTGGGGTTTTTTTAAGCAAAACAAAAAATTACAAACTGACATACCTACTTTGGATAGAAAAGGGTCACAAAGGTCAAAAGATTACACACAAAGATGACTCATGCGTGGCCAAAGACAGAGAACAGTTTCAGAGCTGTGCTCATGAGTCATGAATGTTGTAATCCATAACCGTACCAGAGGTAAGACCGCTCAGCAGCTCTATCAATCATTAGAAATTTACCAATTGAGTTTCAAGAAAAAATTTAAGCTTTCCATTTCTTTAATATTTTAATTCATAAAGATTTCACAATCTAAATTTTCTTCTTCACTTTTTAACAAAGAGAAAAATATATTGATAAAGCCACACACTTACCATCATTGTAGTCTTGTTGATGATATGAAATATGGTATCTTCGGGGATAAGTCCCCCCCTTTCCAAATTTCTCAAATATTGGGATATCATACTCTACTAGAAAATAAAAATATTAATTTCAAAATTTAAAATGTTACAAAAGCACATTTAATTAACCAGTTTAGTACTATAAACTCAAACATAGGGGAACGTATCAGTGGATATGCTTCAAGTTGAGGCATGAGATCAAAAAAAGTTAATGGAGCAAAAGCCACAAATCTTACAAATCACAAGAACTAAAAGGACATTCAGACAAAAATTCCAAAGGATCAAGAATTCCATAGCTCAAGTGGTTTGTAACCTCTTGCTTAAAAGAATGTCAGAGGACTGCACCATGTCTGATCACTCCAGTTTTAAAAACAGGTTCTAGAGGAATTTTGGGAAACTAGAGTTCACCAGGCAAATTGCTAGAAACTATTACAAAAAATAAAATGTAAAGATGCATAAATATGAAAAATTGGCAAATGAGTCAACACAGCCGGAATTACTAAAACACATTCAACAGGTCCTCTTTTAAAAATTATTAAAGGAGAAAAGCATTCTTAAGATAAAGGGCGAAGTCCCTCATGCATAAGTAATTGGATAGAAGATAAGTACGTAAGATCGGAGTAAATGGTCAACAGTTCCACAGGAATCTGAGCTACGACTCATGCAGTTTAATTATGCATGAATTCTCTGGACAGAACAATGAATAGTGAGGTGACAAAATCATTTGGAGAAATAAAGCCAACAGAAGAATTACAGAAAGCCATTAAGAGTCTACGTGACTGGATGTTAAAATGGCAGATGAAATTCAATGTAGGCTACCGTAAAGGACTGTGATAGAGAGTTCTAATAACGCAGCAGCTGAACTCTCTGCATTGGCTAAGAAGCAAATTAAATGCTATAAATCATTGTGATACACCGAACAGAGTTTTGGTCTGCTCTATTTCCAAGGATTTAGTAAAATTGGAAAAGATTTAGAAGTACAGAGATGATCAAGGATACAAAATTGCTTCTCTGTAAGAAACGTAGGCCTCTATACACTAGAAAAGCAACAGCTCAAAGGGAGACAGAGGCCTATAAAAAAATACTAAAAAAAATCACAAAGGGCATATTTCATAAAACACAGTAAACTACACAACTTCTTGTCACAACATACTGTTGATACTGAAAATGTTTATACAAGTTGAAATATAAGACTAGAAAAAAATTGTGGAAGGAACAGAAATAATCCATCAAATCACAGAAAAGCATTTTGCATTTGCAGAACCTTTAAGCCACACACGACTAGGAATATATTCTGAGGAAGGAATCTACACACTCGTCTATAGGAGCAGGGTACTGGTTTTGGCAGGAGAAAAGACTAGGCCAGAGGGACTTTTTTTCTGACTCTATATCCCATTCTGGTTTTGTTAAACATCAAATTATGAGAATAAATATTGAATATGGAATTAATGATTGTTGTCTATCCCACTGTTAAAGTACTGGAGTATTCCAGAGGAAAAAAAGAAAAAAAAATATTGCAAGATCATCTTATCAGAAAAGTAATTGTAATAAACAAAGACAACTAAACTAGATTAAGATTACCAAAGGCAAACTAAATTCTGACATTTCCAATGTTTTTGGTATTTATCACTGCCACCTAAATGCTTCCTAGACATAGTGTTAGTTTTATTTTCATTTAGAAGTGGTGCAATCTATTAAGCACTCTAGAATCCTTAAAAACACACCATCACACAGTTACCTGGATAAAGCTTCATAAACAAAATAAAAAGAAGCCTTGAAGTATAAAATAGGCAAAAACCACAAAACACCCCAGATTCACTGGAAGCTTAATTATTCTTCAACAGCAAAACTCTGTAGTGAGGCATATCCATGAGAGAAACCTCAAAGCACTTTCAGTGTTACCCGTTGCACTTTGTGTCCTGAACCAAGCACAACAATTTGGACTGAAGCCAGAGTATTATATGAAAACATTAGTGGTGATGATTAATTTATAGGCACAGCACACAGTTCTCCTTCATCCTTTCTCTTTGCACTGCTTTCAATTACAGAAGTCATGAGCACTTCAAAGTGATCCTCATTTCACATCGGAGAAAATGAAGGCTCCATGTACTGGTTTTGGCTGGGATAGAGTTAATTTTCTTCATAATAGCTCCTATGGTGCTATGTTTTGGATCTGTGACCAAACCAGTGTTGATAACATAGGGATGAACAGGGTTTACACTTCATCAAGACTTTTTTTGTTTCTCACACTGCCCCACCAGCAAGTAGGCTGGGGGTGCACAAGAAGTTGGGAAGGGACACAGCTGGGACAGCTGACCCCAACTGAGCACAGGGATATCCCATACCATAAGAGGTTGTGCTCAGCAATAACAGCTGGAAGAAAGGAGGAGGAAGGCAGGATGTTCGGAGTTACACAGCATTTGTCTTCCCAAATAACCATTAGGTGTGGTGAAGTCCTGCTTTCCTGGAAATGGCTCAACCTTTGCCTGCTGACAGGAAGTACTGAACAAATTCCTTACTTTGCTTTGCTTTCATGTGCAGCTTTTGCTTTACCTATTAAACTGTCTTCAGCTCAGCTCTTGACTTTTCTCACTTTCACCATTCTGATTCTATCCCCCCATCCCACTGTGGGGGAGTGAGCAAGCAGCCGTGTGGTGCTTAGCTGCCTGCTGGAGTTAAATCACAACACTCCAACATTAAAGAAATTAACCAAGGTTATGTGCCAACTTAGATGGCCATTACAGCCCAGTTTAACAAATTGTTGTGTGCCCCTATCCACTGCATCATCTACTTTTTTCAGAGAAGCAGATGTGTTATACTACACAGACTATCAATGGTGTTACACACAATAATCTAGAAGAAAACCTTCTCCTACCACGTTAAGTTTGTGTCATACAACACCTCTTCACGTGAACTTCCCTTCCAAGCCCTATTATTTACAAGAGAAGGAGTATTGCTAGTGCATCCAGCAGTTTTGCCTACCTGAGAATTCCTGATGATTATCTGGATAGCTCTGTGCTCTTGGCATCCGAGATCTGGGATAGTTGTCTCTGGAAGTGTAAAAACATGCAGCATTTAAAAACTGCTGTTAATCTTGTACTTGAACGTTTCATCTGTCTCACAATTCTTTATGACTGATGAAAATTTATTGCTATACAAGTTGCTGCACCTGTTATGTGGAACCTAATTTTGAAAATCAAATCTAACAGTTATCAATAAGAATTCAAGATCAGTAACAATGGAAAAGCTTACTTATCAAGCTTAATGTAGTAAGAAAGCAACAGACACCGTTAATGAGCAATGATATTAGTAAAAACATGAATTATCACAAGTAAAGCCACAAAGGAACAGTGTTATGTTTAACACCTTTATGGCTAAACACAAAAGTTAATAGACTGGCAAAATACCTTACACAGCCTACAAAACTCTTGAGGAAATTTAACCAAAGAAACGCAGAACCTTTTAAGGTCTCAAAATATTTCCCCTTCTCTCCATGAAAGTCATAGGATTAAGAGAGTAATTTTATTGAGTTATAGAATGATGAAGAATTTTTTGGTTCTTATAAGACCACGTTGTTTCTTACCTATAGTCGGTATGTAACTCCCAGCCACCAAAAGGAATGGATGGGATTGCCAGTCAGAGCAACCGATTACAGAACATTTCCATAAACATACCAAAACAATGTCCTCCTTTTACTGGTAAGAATTTCTCTAATGGGTAACAGAAGCTAAATGGAGACACAAAACCTACATCTTTGTAGGAAATATTTGAATGAAAAGAAAAAAAAAAAAAACAAAAAGGAAAACAAACTTAAAAACAAGCCAAAGAAGTTCTGAAGAAACATTATGAGTCAAATTAAGATTGCTTTGTTTCCTCTTCTTCCACTCAACCCTACCCCACAAAAACCTAAAAATTTGGCAGCTTGGTAGAATTTCTGTCCTATGCAGCTACATTAACCACTCTGTGTGTATAACCTAATCGCAGTCCAACCACAAAATAGTTTTTGTGTCTATTGTTTTCTTGCTTGTGAAATTTAACTCAAAAATTTGTTAGACCAAATGTATTTTGTCTCCTCAAATCACGTATTCTCAAATGAAACGGTAGTATAGAATATGATAGCTCTGATCAATTAACACAGGCAATGATTTCCAATTTTTTACCTTTCTATAAATTAAATGAAATATTAAGTTAGCAGTATTATTTGTATAGCAGTTCCAAGTAAAGAAGTAGCCAATCTGTGCAACATGAGACCCGAGGTTATTTGCCGTAATAACTGTATGCCAAAAGGGAGTATGCTCTGGTTTACCTGGTGGCAGTGACCCTCTCAAAACACATGAATCTCCTACCAGGTCAATCAGAACAGATCTCCAGACCCACCACAGGACACACTGCCTCTCGCTAACAGAAAGGGTTAAACAAAAAAAAAATAAGTGGGAAGTCTGTACTGGTGAAAAGGGGAGAGAAACTGAGAGTAACATCAAAAAAAGGAGGGGATTGTCTGTTGAAGTCTTCTAATGATTCTACCCTCTTTCTTGAATTAGGTACCCTCTCCTTTGGAAAAGAGAAGCTTGCTTCCTACAGCAGTACCAAAGAAATGTAAATTTGATGGGACACTGCCAAGGAAAATACTTCACACACATGTAAAACCGGCAAAATTTAAGAAAAAACTTCAGTCAGTTTTTGTAGGATCTGAAGTCTAAATTTTTCTGTTTCAAATGCAAATTATTAAAAAAAAAAAGTTTACTTCATTTTCCCATGCATTAGTAAGCAATTAAGTTTCAATAAGCTTTTAGAAATGTTCAATAACCTACAGAGGAATTTCTGGAAGAAGTTCAGAAATAGCTGTTGCTGGAGAGTTGTTATATGTTACAACTGACATACTATGCAATCTAGTAAAGACAAATAACCAATGTAAGTAATTTTTACCCATCTAAAGGGCTGTCAAGTGAGGGACAGCTTCCCGAGCCAGAGTTTTCAGGACTGCTCAGAGACAATGGATCCAGCATCTAGTAAATAACAAAGAGAAAGACCAACAAGTTCAAGTTTTTGGAATTTTTTGGGTTATTTTGTTGTTTTGGTTTTTTTAAATACTTGAAAGATTCTGCTTTGAAACACCTAATAAAAAACTAAAACCAAACCAGAAATATTAATTACTAGAGAAAAAGTTAGCTGCCATAATTGAACCTGCATTGCATTCTGCAATCCTGAAAGGACTCCATTTTCTCACATCTAACTAGAATACAGTTTTTTATTTAATCTCTATCACGCTTTGTACATCAGAAGTTGTACTGCTACATTCTTCCTTTACGTGCCACTGTCTCTTAATATCATAGCAATACCTGCATGAGAGTAGCTTAAGAGAATAACAAAAATAAGACCTCTAAAGGATAAAAAGCTGAGACAGTTTAAAAAAAAAATAATATGTGGATTATATTGTCATCACTGAAGAAAAAAATAAATTCAAATATGACAGATTTTAATGAATACAATTTATATAATCTCTGTAGTGGCTTAACTTTGGCCAACGAGCAGTCACAGAAAACAGCTGAAATCAAATACTGTAAAAAGCTTTTAAAAATTTATCTCTAGTTAGGACTCCAAGCGAGATTTTTACGCAGATTTTTAAATAGACCTGAAAAGAAAATGGAAGGAGAAAGTGGGAGAAAGCATAAAATTTATAAACACTCTCCCTTTTCACCCAAACCAAAATCCTGTTTCAAATAAAATAAATGTTCATGTGAAACTGGAGTTTATAAAACCACCAAAGACCTATTTTTTTTTTCCTGAAACACTCCTGACGACCTAGTAATTGATGCTCATGAGCTGTGTGAAATCTGCCACGTATCAGTCTGAAGAAGTCATAAAGCTGACTATCTAGGCCAGATCAGTTACATAACAAAAACAGTCATCAACACTTTCTCTGCTTCTCAAATTCTAATCTGGAGAAAAAGATTGATAATCAAGAGCATCCTCTTGATTACCAGCTATTTCTGTTGGCTGACACACGTTTTGTTTATCTCGCGCTACCACCCTTAAAAGTCCGAAGTTTAATGACAGGCAAACATCACTCCCTTCTCTTTCACAGTCGAACAATCTGGAATCTTTTACAGATTTATTTTTCAGAAGAAGTGGAAACAGAATCTAAACGTTGAATTATTGAATGTGACAATTTTACCAGCCTGCCTCTCAAAACCAGAATGGAAAGCTCATCTGTTTTCTTAAAATGAACTCCTTCCTAAAATGAAGGAGTTTTTGGTATATTATAAAACTTCTATTATTTTCTATGAATTGGACGTCAGTCTTTTGCTGTAAATGAAGAAGTTACCCCTCTGATTTTTATGGTCTGTGGTGCATGTCAAAGATCCTGAGCACATACTTTGCCAAGCACTGATCAAGGACTTACTAAAGAAATAGTGTCCAGAAACTGAGTTTACACTCTGAAAACTAAATTCACTTAAACTCCGCATCAGGGAGCACAACAATTTACCATAGGTTCAGCAATTATATTCCTCTTTTCTTGTGCTGAACAGTGGGTCCCGAAAGGGAAGAAAGCCCATCTGCTGCCATACTAATTACCTCTATAACTTAATGCAGTATGGTCTGGCTGGCAGACCACAGGCCACTTCTACCCAAGCCATGAGCTCTTCTGTAGAGAAAGTGTGGGGTCTGCTGCAGAGCGTGAATAGCTGTGCTCAGACAGATTACAGGAGAGCAGAACAAAGCCCTGCACTTCCAAATTCCCTTCCTGTCTTTGTGGGGCAGGCTCTGGCAGATGTAGGTCAATACACCAAGGTGACGTGACAACTTAGGGGGAAAGGAGCAAAGAGAAGTTGAGAGTTCCCAAGACCCCAATGTGGTGCTTGAGGCTGCTTAGGTTGAACTAACCTGACTTCCTATGAAAGTACAATTCCTGTATTTAAAGCCTGCTGACATCTTACACAACAATGTGTACATGACGGGTCAGATGTTTCTTAAATACTCTGGAATGAAAGGACATGCTGGGCCTCAGAGATCAAGTGTCTGTCTGCTCAGTCAGTGACCAAAAATGACTTTGCCCAGGCCAAAAGTAATCCTTTCGCTGAATGAACCCGGGCCTGGGCTGGATCTGAGCACGTGGCTGTGATAATGAATTGCACCCTGGTCTGGAAATTAGGAGATTCAGTCTCTTATTCCCAGCTCAGTCATTAAAATTGTGCAACAAATTGCACAATCTCTTTGCCTCTATTTTTATTCTATCATCTGTCTCTCATTTAGTCAGCTCATAAAACCATTGCCTCTTGCCATTTGTGAATACAGTGCCAATGTCAACAAGAACTCGAAGTGATTCGGGTATACAGCATTATTTATTTTCTTCCTCCTTAAAATATCTCTTTCTCCATTGCCAATTCTGTAAGCCGTTACATTCCTCCATCTTCTCTGCTGTTTTTAAGGATAGTCTTGATATTTAGACAGCAGGATTTTTATTCATGCTAAGTGTGCTGATATCCCACACCAATAATGCAGGTGAATAAGGAGAATAAAATACCATACATTTGTGAGCCTCACACAGAAATGTGACCGTGGAAAGTATTTCAGGGCCTATTTATACCAGGCCCATTGCCGCCCCCTTGCCTCTACCCCAACACAGTATCAACTGAGTCCAAATTATTCTGACAGATCCAAACTCTTCTTTAAAACCTCCCTTAATTACCTGGGAAAGCTGTAAAACTGGTCTTGCTTACATATTCTTCTCATTAAAATAAAGGGGGTTGTGCTTTCTAACGTAGACATCTCTTGCTGTAATTTATATCTATCATTACCTCACTCAACTATCATGGAAATTAAGAATATTATCTTTCTCCTTGTAGCAACATATTTAAATAATTGAAGAGACAGAGAAAAAACAAGTTTTTTTTGTAGAACTTGTTTAGTTCTACAAGACTAACCAACCACAATTATTTTATTCTCTCACAGATCATGTTCTAGAGTTGTCATCCTCTTTTTAGCCGTTCTTTTTAACAGTTCCATATCCTTCTTTCAGAAATCAACCTAACAAAAACTTTAATTTTAATCAGTCACACACGTACCTGATCCATACTTTCTGGAATGAATTCACCCTCACTATTGATACTGGTGAAGGACCCATTTCGGGCCACCTGATGCAGCTCATCTGGAATGTATCCTGGGGGAGGTGAACTCCTATCACGGGTATTAGAACCTTTTGAAAGAAAATAATAATAAAAAAAAGGCCTAGTCAGAGTCTCTTCATTAACCCTGAATCCAGGGGCTTTATTCAAATGCTTCATAGGCGCTGAGCCTGCCTAGATCGCTTTTTGCTTTAGAAAAGTCCCACATGCCTACGCAATACAAGACTTATATATAGCATTTAAAATCTGTAATTCAGAAATTATGAAAAATTTGGAGCAGGGTTGCCTCAGTTGCATTGAAAAGAATTTTCATCATACAGGAACAGAAATAAAATTTACTTTTTTTTTTACTTTTACTTGGGTAAATATCTCCTTTTGAAATCCTTCCATCCATGTCAACTAATCCTTTTCAACTCTAAGAATTTTTGTTTTTATTTGTATGATATTATGTCTGCAAGAACATTCATACCTCTATTTATAATAAAAGCATAATAAAATAATTAGATTGTCTGAAGAATTATTCATTAAACTCTCTAGTTTCATAACTAAATTTGGAATTTAACATCACACCAACTTTAAAACATGCATAAGGGGAAAGGTTATATCAATACCAAAATATGTATTGTGAACAAACATTGACACATTAAGATTAAAGAAATACGGGAATCCTAAATTGAACATGGAAATGTATTGCCACATAAGCAAATGGACTTTTCAGTAACTCATTCCTGTATCTGAAAATAAAGGAGACAACTAACTTCAACTTTTTAAGATACCCATCAGTTACCTCAAGTAACGCTACACAGATTTATTTACCTGTGATTTTTCGGGGGTTAAATATATATAATACAGAAAATTAAACCACCTTTGACTTAAAATTCAAAATCCACTCCCCTGAGTGCAAACTCATTGTAGAGTCATTGATGAGTAAAATAAATTGAAGTAGTTGAGAGCAAGATCTTAATGAAGAAAATATTACAAAAGAAAAGCTTTTACAATTAAAGCTACTGGAGTATGTAGCTTACCTATTACAGACAGTCTCCTTTTTCTGTCTGTCACACCAAACACTGTATTATCTAAATCTTCCAGTGAGGGCAGGGGCTCCACGTTATTTACACTGGGTGACTGTAAATGCAAACATATTACAAACTGCAGTTATTACTTTATACTTCTGACAATGAAAATATTTCACAAACTTTATAGGCCTGTGCAGCACATTCCTTTTTTCAAGCAGTTGAAAAGAAGTTCACCAATTTATATCAAAATTCATCCATTTTAGTATCTCAGTATTTAAAAATAATTTTCAATACGTACTAGTATACAAATCCTATCAATATCATGGCCATAATGCATTAGGTAATAACAAAATAACTCAGTATTTAGCCTATACTCTGCTGCTACTTTTTGCTACAACAAACATTTAACTTGTTGCAAAGGAGAGTCACCAACATATCCTTAAAGAGCAGTTTCAAATAACTACAGTTACTTAAATTCTATGTGCTTCTCAAATTTGTATGACATCATCATCCAGTTAAGGAATGTTTTGCTACCACTATAGGGAAGGCAAAGACAGAGGAACAGGATCTAGGAAAAGTTAAACACGACTCAATATGAAATGCTAACAGATGCTTAAAGTGAATTGAAGAAGCAATCAGTAATATTTTCAACTGGAAAAATGTAATCTTTAAGAAAAGATACCAATTATACTTCAATATGAAAAATGAGGAAAAAGACATTTAGCATGTAAACTCATACCTGTGTATTTCCATGTATTACAAGCAATATCTTGAGACTCTTCATATGAACACTACGGTCAAGCAGTTCAATAGCTTTGTCCAGGTCATCCTGTGTGGTTAATGGAATTACAAGCTACAAGAAGGGAAGAAAAAAATTTTAAAAAATATGTCTGAAACAGGACACAAGAAAGAAACGAAGAACTCAAGTGCAGAGAAACAAATAACTGATGCTATCTTTCCTTTCATTCCAAACAACTTGAAAATAAAATTTATTAAATGTTAGCTCAGGTTAGCACCAAAATGTCTGAAGTTCAACCTTAACCCTTCCTTTACATGCCTTCAATAAGTACAACATTGGTGGAACAAGTCTTGATGATGAAGGAACAACCATTTTGCATATGTACAACTTAATATCCTACAAGTTTCAGAGAAACATGCATAACAGTGTCCATGTATTTGCCAGCACCTAAATTAATGCAAGTCTATCAGATAAATAAGTGCTACATTATAGAGCATAAAGCACATTTTTGTATTGCACAATAGTACACCTGTATTTGTTTGAAGTTGCATCACTAACAGAACTTCTCCATTGAAAAACAGAATTTGTTAAGTAAGTGTATCAGGTATGATGTGATCCACATGGATCAACTAGTCCTCACTAGAATCTTACTTGGATCTAATGAATTGGAATTAACTTGGCATAAATGTATCTTTAGAACAGAAAACGTTATGCCATTAAAGTGCACTTGAGATTTGAGTTCTACAACAATTAAAATTGGGTTTATGTTTCAGGAGTGTAAATTACACCTTCTGCTCGTAACAAAAGAACAATGCAATATAGATTTTTAAAAATCTATTCTACTTGTAAACAGTCTCGGTCAGTGATGCCCACATACAGCATCAGTGAAAATACACTACTCTTATACAAAAAGCAATGGGAAAGAGAGAGCAAGGTCTTGCTAACAAATGAGCACACTCTTCATTTTAAGTTGCCATTTTAATGCTACTGACAGGTTATTACCATCACATTTTGGAAAGGTGACAGGGTGATTTGCCAACTAGTGCAGAAGTTGGCAAGAAGAAAACTTGCTCAAATGCCTAAAAATCTATCAGAGGAAGGAGCTGAGGCTAAAGCATCATGAACGGCCATTTCTCCTGACCTTTCTAATCTCCAAAAGCCGCCTGCTGGAATTTTTCATTTTGAGGATGAGTTTCGTGGAAGTGCCTGGTAAGCTGGGAGTAACCAACAGCAATTACAGGCATTTTCTTCTGCAAAGATGCAGATTAGATACAGCAATGACATTGTGCATAACCAAGCACATGAATAATTATCCACACACTTGGCTGACTGAAGGCAAAAACCAGAAGTAACTCCTAAGAACGGATCCTGCATCTGTAAATACATTTCCTATTAATAATTCCGTCTCTACTTCTAAAGGAAAGCTGGAATAATATAACATAACTAAATCCAGCATTCTAGCAACTACCTAATGAGATAAATTCTTAAAGAAAAGAAAGTGTACAGAAAGGATAAATGTTATTCCAAATTTACAAACATGAAGAAGTTCAAAGAGGTAAAACTTTTCCAATGTCACGCAACAGGACTGTGGCAGACAGGAAGACAATTTACGCATTCCCAATGAAGTCTGAGACATAATTCTTTAAGATATGACTCTCACCATAAAACATTTCATGCATCTCCTGCCTATCCTAATTTAGACAAGCCTTGCATATTTGAGCACACATTAGAAATCTGAGGTTTTGTCACAGAGTAAATTTTGTTACAAAAGCAGATTTCAGCCTTAAAATAATCAATGTACAAGTCACTGAGAATTTAGAAGACACAGAATATTACCTCATTATTGCTGTAATGCAAATCCATAGTCTGTCCAAAAGCAACTTTAGCTTTAGCTGCAAGATCTTCAAGTTTAACAGGCCTTGGTAATTGCAGGATCCTGAAACACAATTTAAGTTATAAAGAACTTTTATCCATTGCATCTGAAAATCTGGCAACTCATTACTTAAGAACGATCTTAAAATTAAATTTATTACTAAAAAGACCATAAGAGGCTATGCTTTATTCACTGTTGCCTATATTTTGAGTCATTAGAAAAACAGAGAAGAGCAGTGAAAAAGTTATAAGGGATAATCATGCATAAAATTAGATCTCATTATGACTATTTTACTTGCTTGGATATGGCTTCTTTCTTAACTTAAACCTTTGCATGCCTCCATTTCGAAGGCAAATTCTTAGAAACTGCTAAAATTCTCCGCTTCAGAAAACCAAGACAATGAAGTACCACAGGCTGATAAGTGTAAGCATCAGAAAGGAATTACTCCTACAATCCCCAATACTTTGGAAATGCAAAAGCAAAGGGTAACTGTCCTTTTATCAGTGTTTCAGTTGGTGCACTGCTTAGGGAACAATATTTCTCACTGAAATAAGGCTAGAAGCCAGGCCATTTCCAATGAAAAATTATTTTGAAAAATAAAATTTTAAAAGAAAACCCACCAATTCTCACTGTAATTAATAAGCTAGCAAGCCTGGAACTCTGCCCATTGCACTGCACACTCCTAGGTACAGAGTGTCACATTCACTGCTGAAAGAACTCTGGAATCACTTCTCTTTTCCGCTTCCCTTTTTAAAAATGAGTGAGAAAGCCATTGCACAATTTATTTTTCTTGCATAAATTCATTATTTTGTCTTCAGATCTACATACTCAGGCAACAAAAGTATTGCAGCTCATGCTGAGCAATGAGCCTGGGCTGCCCTGTACCCCAGTCCAAAACAGAGCTAGGCCCATCTGTATAAAAGCTTGGGACAGGTCTACACACGTACTTTATACTTGTGTTCATATTGAATTAATTAACTTAGTCCACTGTGAACGTGAATTAAGTTAAACTTCAAAAACACACTGTCCATAAGTAAACAGTTCTCTGTTTTAAATTCATGCTTTCACTTATTTCACAAGAAAATGCTGGGTCCTCAATTTTAAAAGCTTTTGCAGAGACTTATTTCTTCCAAATTACTTATAGCACTCAACCATTACCGATGCACTGCTACATGGAATGTGTAAAAAAGTGACAGAAATCAGCTGAAAAACGTTAATACCTTTGAAACTTACTGCTATTTTATTACCCATGACAAGAGCAGGCACATGTGGTATCCAGCACGGACACACACTGATCTATTGCACATCGCACTGCCCAGAAGTAGCACAGGTTTCATTCTGAAGCAATCTTTACTTAAGGAATTTACCATTTCTATTGACAAACAGCACGACCAGGATGTTATTTACTAATAAACTTTCTTATTACAGTTCTCAGATTGGTATAATCCAATACTGAGCTTTAAGATCTAGACTTCCTCCTCCGGGTATAACAGCAACAATATATTATCATGTATTTATTAAGTATATGATGCAGCAAAAAAATTATTTGCTGGTCTACTCATATTTGAGATCTATGCTAAAGATCTAAGTAATTGTTCTAGGCTACAAACATCTATCTGAAGTGTAAACAAATGAAGGATATTCCATGGGACATAGCTATGGTAAGATACTACTTAGAGTACACATTTTAAACAGACTAATTCTCCTTAAATTGTGTTCATATCAAAATTAAATTGAAGATCAGAGTTCAGATATCTGAAACACTTTGAACAGTTTACTTGAAACTTTATGATAGGAGCCCAATAAAATTCTATAAATAATTAAAAATCAAGATTGTTTCCTGTGTTCCCATCTTACCTTTTTTCACCTCGATGTTCAAATTTGACTCTAACATCATTCTGTAAGAAAAGAGATAAAGGAACCACTATTAGTATGTTATTACCTCCTTTAATGAGGCCATGACATCCCATTCAATAATCCTACACCAGAATTAAAATCCCTTAACAGTCCATATTCATTTTCTGTTAACCAAGCACGTTAACAAGCTACTTCTGCTGGGGTATCTGATACAGGCTTAAAGCCTTTATATATAAAAAAATACAAAAAAATATTCTGAAGTACAATAAATGCTTCTTTAAGTAAACACATCATTTTTCTATCAATATATTTGAATATTATAACATTCATAATTTCAAATTCAGTGTGGAACTGATTATCAAAGAATTATTTATCAGGAGCAGGCAGGTAGATTTAGTTCCAGGCTTAAGGAACATATCTTGTTTCATAAGCATTACTATAGAAACCCACACATGTAATTAAGCCAGTGTTCATGCAATCAATTTTCCAAAACCAAAGATACCAGTAAATATCTACAGTTATATGGAAATAAAATTGTTTTGCAAAATCACAAGTTTAGGAATCAAATTGTATCAGCAACTATTGCAGGGAAAAAAAATATGCATTCAAACACAGGGATTATATCCAAATAACAATGTTGTATCTACCAAAAACTTACTTGATTCACAAGTGATTAATTTCAAGATTCACAAATTTAAGCAGAATGAAGACCATGTAATTCTGTCTAAATCACCACTACTACATTTAAATTCATAAATGGGTCAACTGTTTTTCTTTTAACTTTCTAGATATGTATTACATGATCCAAAATTATTTGAATATATGTACTTTACTACAATGTCTAAAGTCACAGCTTGGAAGCGAGTCATATGGCACCAGCAAAGCACCATCATGTTATATACTGAACTCTTACAGCTTTTAAAGCACAGAATGAAAAAGATGTAGCCCTTGGTTTCTTATAGTTTAAGAGCCAAAAATATTCTAATACTTTGACCTTTAACAGGTTAAAACAAGACTATACAAACTGAAGTTTCATTAAATATTGGATTGTCAATTAAGGATCCAATCAAATATACATAGTTAACTCAATAGGGTTATTACAACAATTGAGACAAAAATCTACATCCTCTCCTCTCCTAATCTCTCCATACAGTTGATAGGTTTGAACTACTAAGCATTCACTAGTTTTCCATCTGTGTTCAGTATCTGCAGAAAAAAAAATACAGCTGAAAAGTACTCACATTTCCAGCATATGAATAAACAAGAAAATTGAGGCCAAAGCTGCAATAAAGGAGTATGTTTCTGCTGCTGTACTGACATCCTTTAGTATGATACAGCTGACAATTGGACCATCTAATATACCTTTAAAATTCATTCTAAAGAAGCATTCTAAATAAGAGATACCACCACACCTTGATATTTTAAAATTGTCTAGTACTAATCGAATGATAATAATAAAAAATATCAATCTACATACAGTGTCAAAATACCCCTATAATCTTCAATTTATCATGATTGGAGTCATTTAAGCATACACTATATTCTGGTTTAAAATGGCACCATTTCATTTTGCCGATAATTTAAGAACATGAACAAAGAAAATGGCAGCACACGTGGGAGACTAATAGCTCATTCTGGTATGCTCACTGGTCTGGCAAGAAAAATAATTATAGAAGTCACAGCAGGACATCCCATGTTCAATAGGTTAGTAAAGGATATTAAAGATTACCTGTTTTTTAGGTGAGGATGACTTTGGTTTTCCTGTTTCTTGCTGGGGCAATACAGGACGACTGGCCTTATGAAGCACAGCCAAATCCTGCATGATTGAATTCAAAGCTTGCTGCTCATCTGCTCAGAGAAAAAGACCAGATAAGAGGAGTGTAAATGACTGTTACATTTGAAGCGCGTTACCGTCTCATTTCACAAATAGGCAGGCATTATTCTAAACTCTAAAAGTCCATATTACATTTCAATACATAATTGCCAAATTAAAAAAGCATTACTGCCATGCTGCAAACATTTTTATTTTATTATCATTAACAGTGCTTAAGGAAATAAACAGCTTAATCAGTAAACACACTTAAATGGCAGGTCTGAAAAACTCAAGTCATAACAGAGATTGACAACTCTACAGAACTGCAGGAAAAAAAGCAGGAAAAAAAAAACTAAATAAGGTTTTTCTCCTCTGTTTCATATAATGTCCATGGATGAGGTGTTAACTAGAAATCATATATCTGTGCCCAATTCATAAAATAAGGAAAAAGTAAAGCAAGTGCTTTTGAATCATTCTTCCTCTGTCCTGAACAGGTACAGTCATGCACAGAGGAGCACACACAGACTCCCAGAGGAACACCTCCACTGTTTGAGCACCTGCTAATGGCCCACAGAGTAATTTAAAAAAAAAAAAAAAACAAAAAAACCCCCAAAACAAACAAACAAACCAACCCACAAAAAAGCCCCACAACAACAAAGAAACCCACAACCACAAAACACCACAGAACTTTTCCAGGATTGCAAATGTAGGGCTTGTTAGGGCTTACAGGGATCATTAACAAGGAGAAACAGAAGTACCGAGCAGGGACAATTTAGGGGCAGGAGCTTAGATTTTAAATTCAAAGAAAATTCTAAATCCTGGTGATTTGCTGCAGCTGTGATGTCCTGAGACCACACTAGACAAGGTTTGCCCTGAAACTGGGATCCTCCTTTAGATGGGAAAGCACTTAGAAGCCAAAAAGGCCGTACATCCATCACTAATGGAATTTATTTGTCACTAATATTTTGTATTAATTCCTTGCCACAGCAACAGTACTAGACTCAAAACACATCTATAACACAAGATAACAACATTTATCTGCTAAGGTGTTGATTGTCTGCCTTCACGCTACTTCACAATGGATATGTTTGCTGAAGAACTCATTGCTAAGTGCTGAGATTTACAAAGAACAATATTTTTCAAACGTGGATCTGAGAAAAACTCAGCACTAAAATCAGCAAGCAAGCATTCCCAGGATTCAGCAATGACGAGAATCCCTTCACACTCTATTCAAATATAACCAAATATATTTGTCATGTCAGGAAGTTGTGGGATTTCAGTGCTCTAATTTAACAGATTCTTAACAGATCAGAAAGCTGGTCTGAAAATGAGTAACTTTGATCATCACTCATACTGTCATTATCATAACTCTACTAAGATATGCAAATCTATAAAAGCAAGTTTTACTAGCAGTATTTAATGGCAGAACTGAAGGCATTCTTGCAGCTCAGTTATTCCTTTCTCAAACTAAAAGACACTTCAAAATTTGCTGCAATGAAAAAATTAAACTATTTTATTTTGTTATAGCATCTTCTAGTGCTCAGCAATTCAAAAAAATTTAAAAAATGTTCTTTTAGCAGTTGCTTGGGGGAGGTTTAATTCCCCGTGGCCACTAGGTAGCACATTTGAAACAAAGGAAACCAAAGCACAAAGGTAAAGCAACTAAAGTTTACTGAATATCCAATATGACTCAATGGTCATTTTGCTCACACAAAACATTGGAGAATATCAGAAAACCAAAGACTGCTGTATTCCTACATTCAGCTGCTTTATTATTTAGCATGAGGTTAAGAAAAAAATAGAGTAACAGTAAAAAACTTTTAAAAAAAATAAAAAACAATGTGTGTTGTGGTTGGTTGCTTTGTTGGGATTTTTTTGAGAGTGAGCACCAATAAGTAATTACAGTAACAACATGCTCAACTCATTCAAAAGGATGTACAACTTGAAAAATCAACCTCAAATTTAAAGTAACACAAATGTGCTAAATATTTAGAAAAACACAGACCATCTATACAGTCCTGGCTTTGCACTGCAGTGACAAAGAACAATATGATAAGAGTCATATAGATACAGACTTTGTGGGGCCTTTTTTCCTCAATAGCCATTACCATTTAAACCACAGTAAATATTGCTCAGTACCCTAATACCTTGAATCTCAATTTCCTATGCTTCAATTTCTAAATTGCCACGTAGTGAGGGAAAAGTGCTATATTCCAATGGATAAAAAAAAACAGAAGTATTTTGAATATTAGCAAAGCAGCTGAAGACTGCCTTTCATGTAGACATTACATTGAGTTACACAGCCAAAGCACACATTTCCTAGGAATAATATTACATTAATGCTTTTGCGCTTCAACAGAAATGAAAAGTATTCAAATTAAATTTTTATATACATTACACACAAGACTTACCCATAATGGCAGTGAGCCTGAGAACTTGAAATTCAGGGAAATGGTTGCTTCATTAGCATTATTTTATTTCCTAAAACGCAAAACCAAAAATACAGAATTATTATTCAAGTCATCAAAGCCACATAAACCAGTCAACTCTTCATTGTTTATGGGTAATTTTTCTAATATTCTACATATCAAATACTCATATAAACTACAAATGAGATTGCATATGTAGATGTGACATGTGGGGAAAACAAATATTGTCCCCAAAGCACTACTGGGCTCTGAGCAGCATACACAGACTTTCAGAAGACACGAGGCCTGAACTAAATATTCTTCCAGATTTAGCTGATTTTAGTCTCTGTCCACAGCCCCAAATGATGATTAGTAGCTTAATTAGCCATAACACTCTGCTACAAGGGATACACACTACTCCAGATTATTAAGAACTGATTCTTTTTCTACAGGTTCCCATATCTGGTGTTCAAAGTTCTGTGTTCAGAACTGCATATATACAGTTCACATATATCAATACATATGAAACTCACAGCACAAATCAAGAGGCACCAACAACTATTGATTATATAAATTAGAAAACTTCAATTAGTAGGGTTTTTTTTCATCATCATTCAAGAGTATTACACAGGTAGTCCAACTCCCCTGAAAGCAAATGCCTCTGGAAGACAACAGGTGCTAACTTTTAATATACAAATACAAGTTATCCAGAAAAGCAAAAACACTGTCATCACAGTATCTTGAACATTGGCCAATTTTAAAAAACAACAGGTAAGGACCAATTAAAATAAACTATGAGATGCTATTATGGAGCTTAACAGCAAAAAACTAAAGACATGTCCCTGAACAGACGACAAGATTTGTTGTAATACCGGCTACCACAGGAAGAATTCAGAGTTTTTAATGCAAGATCACAGAAGAAATCTCTCTAATTTCTTAAGCAGCCACTGAGACCAAGTAAGAAGAGACTATTCCCTCCTCCCTCTTCCTGGCTGCAGTGGACCATCCATCCTTCTGACTTAAGAGCTGAAAGATCTACCCTACTCTGACAGAACAGATGAATTCCCTGGAAGTTCATTCAAGGAACTACAGCAATAGAGTATGACCTTTTTTTTTTTTTTCCCCACCTCTTTCTTAAGCAGAATTTGTTTTCTCATGGTTTAGCTCCTTACCATTGTCAAATGACCCCTGATGCCAGCACGGAGCCACCTTGTGGGAGCACATGGCTGAGAAGAGAGGGGAGGTGAGCCAGCTCTTTCAGCACCAGCCAGTCAGGCTTTTTTGCTTGAGTCTTCTGCCAATTTTCTAGCTAATGACAAATTAATTATAATTTTCCAAAGGATTTCTGAGCATCTTCAGTTAGGCATCTAAAAGTTTCTGGCACTGTGTCTCTTTCTTACTCATTTCACAAAACCAGCCTTTTTAAGCAACGTTCATTTCACCAGTGGAACTAGAAAGCTTCACATACTTCTGGCATATTTTTCAGAAAGAAATTTGGACTTGAAAGCCATCTAAAGGTCCCTGCTGTATACTGCCTTTAACCTACATATCAGATGACTCATCTACTATTGTCTATTTCAAGCTCCATAATACTCAAGAAGATATCAGGCTTTTAAAGAAGATCCAGAGGTCCCACTCTGCAATCAGAAATCAGTTGAGAGAGCACATTAGAACTAAAATAAAGCTGAAAATATGATTCAAGTGTATCCAGAGATACAAGTCCAAGTCTGTGGACAGCCTCAGTCAGTCCCTGAAATAGTTTCCAAGTGTTGTGAGAAAAAAACCTCCTAATTCTTTGTAAAGTATTAAAGCCTGCAAAAGCGTGAGAAGTCTATCTGGCCTCAGCTGCCCACAGTCTCAAGAGACAACCCCAACTTTTACTACTAACATGGTCTCCAACTTCTTGATGCCACCACAGTAAGAGACAGAAAAATCTGTTTCAAAAAAATTGAAGAAGAACTTCTGTGTCTCCATAACAGAAAGGGAAAACCATGAAGATACAAAATAAAGGGATTTGTACTAATCTTTTGAGAGGAAAAAAGGGGCTGAATTCTCATTTATTTGCAGAATGAGAGTAGCCAAGATCACTCAAAATAAGGACAGAATCTTTCGGCCTTGCTCTCACACAAAATGCCAGGGTATCTGGCTTACATAGTGACGTGGGTTTACCTTTATAGCTTTAAATATCACAACTTTTTTTGTCCATGTCTGATTCTTTGCATCTTTTGCATATCTAAGAGTCAAAAAAGCAACATGGAACATATATTCAATTGTTTTCTAAGCTACAGTTTTTGTATGAGCAATAGTCTTCAGGGATCTTCCAAAGCATTTCACTGAAGTGCTTATAAAACATTTTTTTTTTTAATTCTCTATTTGATCCAACTGCCTTAAAATGAGAGCTGGCGTAATTTTCATGAAAGGTTTGATTTAATTAGCTGTCTTGATACATTAAACTAAAAATGTGTTTTATGACTTTGGATTAAGTACTTCTGTAATACTTCCTTGTAAGCATTTCTAAAAAACACAAAAATCCCATGGAACATTTTAAATCTTCTGCCACGCTTCAAGAAAACAAATGCAAGTTATGTCTCCAAACAAAAATACTCCAGATGTTCTTCCTCAACCTCACTGAAATAACCAAATTTGGGAGCTTGAAGTATTTGAGCTACAAGGCTCATATAGGGCAGGAAGCTGAAGAAGAAATACCTTAGGAAACATCTTCTGCAAGCTCCATCAACTACCAGAATTCATTCTTTAGTATTAATTTGTGGCATCTCTCATTAGAAGAGCATAAGCTAATGAGTAAGCATCCATTTCTTTTCCTTCCCACTTCCTTCTTTTTTCTTCAAAGAAAAAAAAAACACCTAGAAAAATTAAACTTCTTTGAATAACTTAAGGACTTCTCACTTTATCATGTTTTTTAACCATAATTCTTTGTGTAGAAATATAAAGTATAATTAATTGCCAACTAAACATCTTAACATCTTTTTGTTAGCATTTAGCATCACTTCAAAAATAAGCTAACAACACTAAAATTTCAATTAAAAAGGTGACCCAGATCAAACCTTATGAAGACTTCACCTTTGTGACTTGAAAAAACACACTTGTTTTTAACTGCTCGTTTTCTCAATGGACTACAACAACAGGGTGGTGGTCAGGAGAGAGTAAAAACAAGCTGCCAAGAATCAACGTTTTTTTAAACAAAAAAGCATACGTTCAGTAGAAATGGAAAAAACATACCCTAGTCCATGGTTGCAAAGTAGCATTAGCAAAACGCGCACACACAGAGAGCAGGTGACAATCCAGGACAGAAAGGAAGTGAAACAGAGAAATCTGGAACTCAGAGAAAGAATGAGAAGAAGCAAAGGCAGCAAAACACAACGGCAGATGCAAAGGTAGAATAAGATTATGTCAAGGTCTTGCAGAGAAACACAAGCAGCTTGAATTTGAATGTAATTAAAGAAGGGATGACAGAGAGTGAATTTCAAAAAGCTGATGATGTGATAAGAGTAGCAAACAAAGAAGAATATCCTAGCAACAGCATTTTGGATATAAGGGCGGAGAGATGCTGATTCATATTCATGATCCGTTTCCCATCAGCCACCTTCCACAGAGCCTGGAAGTCTTGCAGGATCTGACAAAGCCACTGAAGGAAGAAAACATCCAGGTGATTCTCCAAAATTGTTTTCAGGTTTCTCACGGCAAATGAAACAAAGCCTAAGGGCAAATAAGTCATGTGGATGATAATCTAGCTGTTCTGTGCTAATTGTCCATATGCATTCACTTTTCCTATAGCAAATGCAACAGGGTTAAGCTGCCTCTTGGTTACTGAGAGACAAAAGTACACAAACACCAGCGTACATATTACACCGTCTCTCCTGACTTGGTCACATTCAAAAACTTGTAGGCTAGAAAAAAACCAAACTTGACCTTCTGACAGTAGAGAAAGAAAGGAAGCAGATACTGTATGGGCTGAATATTTATTAAGTGAGCTAGAAAGGGCGTTTTAGTTCTGCAGAATATGGAGATACGTAGTGTGCATAAATTAAATGGCTTCTACAGCATCCAACTTCATAACAGAAGTAGAATTTATAAATAGTAAAATTAGCTATGGCTACAATGAGAGCCATAAACTAATCACATGAGAACAGTAAAGGTAGTATATAAGCACTTAAGAACATAAGCCAGCTTTCATGTTGCCTCCTATGTTAGAAAACAAGAAAAAAAAATACAGTAAAGCAAGCAATCCATTTTAGCCTGATTTTGTAAAGAATTCAGACTTACACAGTAACGCTTTACCTACACAGAAAGGTGCTTTGCATCTTTGGAGACCAAACCTGTTCCAATAGTGGGGCAGGAATCTCAAGGATATCAATTCCCTACAAATTTCTTACTAAAATAAATCAGTCCAAGGAAAACATAGTTCCTTGCACCAAAGCAAAATGACACAATGTGAATTTGAAAGAAGAAAGATGCACTATAATTACTTCCAATTACAGGTAAAGATGAAATTGGAGATTATACTGTATTAGGCATAAGCACGTTAAACCAAAATGACAAGAAATAAGATTTGCTTAGCATTGCTGTGCAGAGACATATTTGTCTATAAACAAATAGGTGATACAAACAGCCAGGTAATTATTAAGAGTGTGTGTTCGCAGGTAAGTTTTCAGATGGAGCATGGATAATCACAACATAAAGTAAGATTATAAAAATTTGTTTCATGACAAGAAGAATGAGCCAGACAAAAGAGTTTTACCACCAAAACACTGCTTTTCAATGATCAAATGCTTGGTCTCACACAACTAACCTCTTATAAATCCCAGTAAGCAAGGCTAACAAAACCCCAAAAGATCACCTAGTCAAATACACCTACTTAACCTTTAACCAAAATAATGTGCAGCACTGCTCTTCATTGCTTCTTTTTTTTTTTAATTTAAAATCAAATAAAAATAGCATCTGGGAAGAAGAGAGCAAATGGTAGTACCTAAATCTGAACTTCTATAGAAGAATTTTTCATACCTCAAAGCAATTGCTGGCACAAATGATAGGAACTTACATGGTGTGGCAAGCAT